ACATTAACCATAAGAATTTTAAAATTTAAAATCTCTTCATATAAGCCATATCCCCATTATTCTCAACAATTTATTTACACACAAAATGGAGTACCACAAATTTTTATCGCAATAACTGAAAAATCTGCTAACAATCAAAACCTACATGTTGTTAGTTATTGATAACATTTTTAAAGCAAACTGCGTCTAGGACTCATTTACTGCCCCAACATTGTATAAATTAGTTGAAAATTCTTTAAGATTTGTTCGTCCTGAAACATTTTCAAAGATGGATATTTTATATTTATAATTGGTTTGATCCGATCTAGTCTAAATTATATATTTTGATAAATAGTAGGCCTTCGTAAAATACATATAAACAATTCTGTATAGAGCTACCAGACCATAAAATTATAAAATATGTGGTGAAAAAAAATAATATATGATATTTTAAATGAATTTTGAAGTACTATGGACATTTACTGTAGTAATTTTCTTATTTACCGAATAAGTTTTAAGTAATTTGACAGAAACAAAAAAAACAAAACTCCAAGACTCTCCAAGTCAATAAACTATAAACATAATTTCGTTTTTCTACGTTTCAAAAATGTTGATAGATAATCTCCGAACAAATCAAGAATGCTATAATAATAATTGTAATAAAAATGAATATTTATTAAATCATATATTTATGGAATAATAAATGCGATATATATTTTTATAAAATAAAAAAATAAAAACGAAGAAGAATGCAAAAGAGTATAATGATGAAAGGTCCTACTTTATGCAGAAACCCCCCGTGTGCCCACTCTCCCCCTCTCCATTAATACTAACTCTCTTTTCTATCTCTCTACCATCTCCTCATCATCATCATCAATGGCTTTCTCCTTCTCCTTCACCGCCTTCCTCCTCCTCCTCACCTCCCTCACCGCCGCTTTCCTCCTCCTCCTCCGCCGCACACGTTACCGGCGTATGGGACTTCCACCAGGAAGTCTCGGCCTACCTCTCATAGGCGAGACTCTTCAGCTCATCTCAGCTTACAAGACCGAGAACCCTGAGCCTTTCGTGGACGCAAGAGTTGCCCGGTACGGTTCGGTTTTCATGACGCATATATTTGGTGAACCGACGGTTTTCTCAGCTGACCCGGAAACGAACCGGTTTGTTCTACAGAACGAAGGGAAGCTCTTCGAGTGCTCTTATCCAGCTTCTATATGTAACCTCTTGGGTAAACACTCTTTGCTTCTTATGAAAGGCTCTTTGCATAAACGTATGCACTCTCTCACCATGAGCTTCGCTAACTCTTCGATTATTAAAGATCATCTCATGCTTGATATTGACCGGTTAGTCCGGTTTAATCTTGATTCTTGGTCCTCTCGTGTTCTCCTCATGGAAGAAGCTAAAAAGGTAAACAAATATCCTGATAAAGGAATATATATATATAAATAAAAACTTTTATTTTTAAAATAGTATAATAGAATAATCACCGGAGCGAGTTCTTGACTCAGTGAGTCAAGACGAGTCACCGCATGCATAAATGATATATATGTAACATGTTGTTGATGATGGATGCAGATAACGTTTGAGCTAACGGTTAAGCAGCTGATGAGCTTTGATCCTGGGGAGTGGAGTGAGAGTTTAAGGAAAGAGTATCTTCTTGTCATTGAAGGATTCTTCTCTATTCCTCTTCCTCTCTTCTCTACCACTTACCGCAAAGCCATCAAGGTTTCTTTATTTTATTTTATTTTATTTTAGTTTAGTTACTATCTAATTTGCAAACCTTTAAAAAAAAAACTATCTAGCTAATTTTGGTCAAATTATTTTAAAGGCTAATATTATATTTATATTTGTAATTTTTTAGGCGCGGACGAAGGTGGCGGAAGCGTTGACGGTGGTGGTGATGAAGAGAAGGGAAGAGGAGGAAGAAGGAGAGGAGAGAAAGAAAGATATGCTAGCGGCGTTGCTTGCGGCGGAAGAAAGATTTTCCGATGAAGAGATTGTTGACTTCTTGGTGGCTTTACTGGTGGCTGGTTATGAAACAACGTCTACAATCATGACTCTAGCCGTTAAGTTTCTCACTGAAACTCCTTCAGCTCTTGCTCAACTCAAGGTATCTTTCTATGTGTTTGTAGACGTGCCTTTTGTGGTGTGTGTGTGTTTTTTAATTAGGAAAAATAACTTTTTTTCTTTGTGAAAATTCGAATTAAAAAATTAAAATGCAAAGCAAATCAAAAATACGACACGTATGAATGAGAGATGCAGGTGTTATGTGGTTGGTTTGATTGCGATTCATTGAGATTTAGTGTTATTAAAACTTTAAGATTCGATATATTACTGCATGCAAAGCGATAGTTAAGGACCACCTGCGCATGTTTATTGTGCTCTCTGCTTTATTTGGGTTTTTAGGGGTAGAAAAAAGGGTTTTATTTCTACATATAAGAAATTAACGTAAACATGAAAACTAGCTGAATTAGAGAAGACAATTCTTTGTAATTTTGTAACACTTTGATGAATTAAAGAATAAATCATCTATTTTTGTTTTGGAACTACATATAGCTGTTGTTCCGTTTTAAGCTTATTTTAATTTATTAAGTAATTACGAGATGTGAAGAAGTAGTTGGACAAAAAAAATGTGAATAAATGGAGGAGAAAAAGGGCTGGAGACTACAACATGGAAGCATAATGATGTGGATTTTGGAATGTAGTTTTCTCCATCATTTACATTTCACACGGGTGTCTTGCAATAAATATTACTACTTTTAATATCATCATTTTTCATTTCTTTAATTAAGAGAAGAAAATGACACATACACGTCAATGAACGGCTTAGTTTTTTTTATCTCTGGTTCTGTCTCCATTGAACTACTAGTTTACATAGCAAGTTAGCAACAGTACAGTTTAGTCGGTTGGTACTAATAATTGAATTTATAAAATAGTGTTTTCTTTCTGTTTTAGATAGTGTTTTGAATATAGACTTCTATCTTGGTTAATTAATGGTTAGGTAATAATTAAGTTATAATACACGACATTAGCCGGGTAAGACGATGCTAATAACTATTTCAAATTATATATTGTATAGTATATATTAATATTTAAACGACAAATAGTATAACTTCAGAAAACACACAAAACTATAGAGAAAAACACGAATTCTCAACCAATTTGTTTTACAGGCAGTCATGATATCCATTAAAATTTGCATTAAATTCTAGACCTAAGTTACAATTTAATTAAATTTCTATGATTTTTACATAAGCATTTTATTAAGTGGGTTTGAAGGTGAAAAGTGTAAAAGTACAAATGACCGTAAAAGTCAAAGAAGTCATTCTCGAACCTAGACAGCATCATAACATCTGTTTTTTTTTTAACTAATAAATGTGTAAATGTTGTTCAAATAAAGAGAGTTACAGTGTCAACCAGTTTGTCTCCTGAACCGAACACATAATTACACTTTCACCAAACTTCATCTTTTCTTTTTCTTGGTTTGTCAACAGCTTTATTACTGGTTCGAATATCCCCCAATAACTTTCTCTTACATTAAAGTTAAAAGTATTATTCATAAATATGTTCCGACAAGCATTTATCCATTTTCATTGGTTATGATATTTTATTTTAATTATTTATTTGTTGATGTCATTAGTTTTGTCTCTAAGGATGGTTTTTTATAGTCACTAAATTTAGTGCGTACGAATATAACCAAATCTATGCCAAAGGACCGGGTCAACACTGTTGGACTTGTGACCTAATTATTTATTGTAATTATTGATTGATGTGTTATTTTGTTTGGTTGAAAAAAAACAGGAAGAGCATGAAAACATTAGGGCAATGAAGAGTAACTCATATAGTCTTGAATGGAGTGATTACAAGTCAATGCCATTCACACAATGTGTAAGTGTACTTACCTTAAGCTTTTAGCTCTTGTACTATTCTTTTTAGTCATTAATCTTTTAGAGATTTGTGTTTGATTCAGGTGGTTAGCGAAACTCTGAGAGTGGCTAACATCATCGGTGGTGTTTTCAGGCGGGCAACAACGGATGTCGAGATCAAAGGTAAAAAATGTTCTGTAACTTTGAAATGAAAATGACTATATATTCCTCAGTTCTTACATTTTGAAACCGGATAAAAAAAACAGGTTATAAGATTCCTAAAGGGTGGAAGGTTTTCGCATCGTTTAGAGCTGTTCATCTAGACCCAAACCACTTCAAAGACGCTCGCACTTTCAACCCTTGGAGATGGCAGGTTTGATTACGTTCTTGGACTTGGTTTTGTGTGCGTCCTCTTTGCATTATTGATTTTAAGATTTATTTAACTGAATGATAGAATTTTGACGAACAGGGAAACTCGGTAACAACATGCCCTTCTAATGTGTTCACACCGTTTGGTGGAGGACCTAGGCTATGTCCTGGTTACGAGCTGGCTAGGGTTGCAATCTCTGTTTTCCTTCACCGCCTAGTGACCGGCTTCAGGTAAAATAACTTCACATCAAAGATAACAATGCTCTGATGATCTGATCCTTTACTAAACTTGATTTTGGTTTTCTTAATTTTCTGAGCAGTTGGGTTCCTGCCGAGAAAGACAAGCTGGTTTTCTTTCCAACTACAAGAACACAAAAACGGTACCCGATCATCGTGACGCGTCGTGACGATGGTGTCACAAATTGAAGAAAAGAGACCAGACGATATTTATTTATAGAATATCATCAGCAATTTTCAGGATTAACTTCTTTTTTTTGCTCCTTTCTGGTCTTAGAGTTGTGACAATAAAAGTACCATTACTTTATAAAGCCTTTAGATTCTGTATATAAAATTACTTTTGTTTACCTTTAACATTTGCATGTATGCTCTCTTCTGCTTCAATGGTTCGAATATAAGTAACTTGGGCAACTTTCGTGTTCGCTTGAATATTGTTTGCAGACAAAACTTACAAGGAGAGAGTTTAAACAGAATCTAGCCTTTAGGTTCTGCATATAAAATTACGTTTGTTTACCTTTATGTTTGTATATATGATCTCTTCTGCTTCAATGGTTCGAATATAAGTAGCTAGTTCAACTTTCATGGTCGCTTGAGTTCCAAGTAATATAGTTTGCAGAGAAAAACTTACAAGGAGAGAGTTAGACAACTTGATTCAAAGTTTTAAACAGAATCTAGCCAAACCAGGAACTGACAATTACGTACCAGTGTTACACTAACTAGATCAAACTATTTTCTTGTGACTTCAACGCTGATTCCACGATCTTGACCTTCTTGGAGTTATCGCTGTTCAGGAGGGATAGTTTGGCGAGTGTGGACTGAAGCTGTGACATTCCTGTATCTTGAATGTAGTTTTTCTTTGAATATTGTTTTCTCTGAGTACCTGCACCGACACTGCTCTTTGGAGATTTTTGAGCTGATTTCTTCACTCTTGCTCTCAGTGTTTCAATAGATGATTGAAGCGCATCCACCTCAACTCCAGCGAATTGATCTTCAATTTGAAAAGACAAAAGGATGATGAAATCAGATTCAGAAAGTATAGGGGGTTAGATGTATGAGGAATCTTTGATATTACCTAGCTCTGACTTAAATTCCCGTTCTGCTCTAGTCAGAGGTTTCTTGTGTGTACCAGGCAAGCTACGGAGACGTTGCAAGCGTTGCTCAAGAGAATCATGTCTTTGAATTGCTTTTTCGATCCTTTTCTCCAACAAGGTTTGATTCTTCTCAAGTTTAGACATTTTCTGATTTGCCTCAGTAAGCCGCTCGTGTTGGTCATCGATTATTCTCTTCAGGTTAGGAGCATGATGCTGCAACTCGAAGAAGACCTGCCAAAAATACAATTAAATCAAATTATATTAATCATGAGAAAAGGAGTAGAAATTGGGTTTATATCACTTCTTTCTCACCTTGTGCGCATATTCGACGTAGTTTTCATGGAAAAGCTTGACATAGTTATGCAGAATTGATCGACCTTCTACGGAATTGGCTGGAGTTGAACGCTGGTTAGGTAAAGCATGGGGCGCTATTCTTACTTTGGGACCTGCAAGGAGGTCCTTGCTTATGATGCACGGGGGATCTTGCTCTTTCGTCTCTATTGGGCTGGAGGATTCTATCTTATCTGTACTGACATGAATTGGAAGCAAGAGATCCCAAGTTTTCATCTCTGCCACAACGCATTCCCCTGAGGATAAGACTGCAATGATCCATGCATACCCAAACGAATCTGACAGAGGTACAAAGCCCAACAGAGAAGACATGGCGGATTCTTGTTGGCATGTACTCAGAACAGTGTGAACAGATGGTGTTTTGAGAGCGTCATCTTTTCCAGTGGCCTGACTTGTGAAGGGAAGAGAGTGTAAGACTGTTGAATCAATGCCACCGTCGTGGAGGGAGTATATTCGTTCTGGCAAAAGGGAGTCGGCGAACAAGGTAACAAGAGAACCACCATCACGCTTAGTTGGTAGAGCCAAATCAACCATTGCCAGCCTTAACAATGGTGGCGGAAGCCCTAACCAAACAGTGTGATCAAGCGGCAGGTTTGAAGTTGCTACTGGAAGCTCACCTACGTTTGACTCACAAATCATTGCAACTCCTTGAATTTTGTTGTGGGAGTTCATGCGAAGGCGAGATGAGCTACCAGAGATCCAAACTGGCTGGATCTCATCGACCAGAGCGTCAACTTGTAATTGTCCACCGCTCCAGGCAGTTACAAGAATCGAATCTTTGCTGACAATATTATATAACAGACTCACTGCCCGGCCTTTACATTCTGCCTCCTTAACAGCGAGATCTTCATTTCCTCCACCGCTCGATGCTTTGTATAAAGGGCCCTGTACACAAGCAAAACAAAGGATCGGGATCCCAAGGCAAGGCGTAGATTGCATAAAGAACACTTGAGAAATAGGTTTCAGCTTTTTGTCTAATCTATTTTCCGAAACAAGGCAAAGGAGGGTATAAATATTTTATGAGGTGCCACTAGCTAATAACTACAAACTTAGAACATTGGTGAATCAAGAAAAATTTCAACATGAGGAGTAATTCAAAATATTACATAACATACACAAAATAGAGGAGAAACCTTACCTGTAAAGCCAATGATGCATCAAGTAACGCGTAAGGATGAGCTTTCACTACCACTATATTATCACCTCTAGTTCCTTGTTCAGTCAAATCTGGAAATACAGCTTCCAGCCAATCAATTGCCAGACTGGCGTTGCTAACAGCTACTGAGTTGGGTGACTTAACCCCAAACATATTTGCATCATTGTAAATCTCCATTATCGATTCCCATTTGTAAATACTGTTGCAAAATACATACGAAGAACTCAGTCAACTAAGACCAGACAAAGTACTAAAACATCTTCCATGATTTACAAAGGTTTTACATGAGGGAGCTAGAGGTCGTAGATTTGTGATGTAATACAGTTTGACAAGAACTAATCATATCTTGTTCAAGAAAACCACAAAAGGAGACTGTATATTGAACTATCATGCAAGATACAAATTCAAGAGATATCGTATGAAAAATTTCTAAAAGCATTCTTCGAGAGGAATGAAAAGCAGAAAGAACAATAATTTTCCTACCTTCCAAATGGAACAACTGGACACAAGATATAAACCGAACCATCAGTGAACAATATAAACACCTGCAACAATTCCAAAGATTCGGTCAAGAACTAAACTCGTAATCTCAAGAATATATTTGACAAGAGTACTAAACTTACAGTAAATCTATCCCAAAGATGATCTCCACCGAAACTAAAATCAGCAGGATAAATCGATGAAGCCGTTCTAGATCTCCCCGGTTCAACAGGCTGTAAATAGTATTCTTGCTCCGGTACCTCAACATCAGAAGACAAATCGAATAGTCTACCAAAAAAAAAAAACATTTGTAGCACCACGTCAATAACAATTACCTTTAATAAAGACAAAAAACGCTGCATGTCAATAACAATTACCTCAGCATCCTAACCTTCGTTACTAAATTTTTATTTTCTTTTAATCACTATCAAGCCTCAAAGATTGTTACCTGAAAACTGCGTCGGAGGATAAAACTCCCAAATGAGTATCACTATCAGGATGCCAAGATGCTTGTAGCAAATGTATAGCACTATCACCACTAGAATAAATCTCTGAGCCAACAGAAACCACCCTGCAACCAATAGACACGTCATCAATTTAAGTTACTACATAATTAAACAAAAGGTGTGTGTTTAATGAGTAGACCTGCAAATAACATTATCTTCAATCACAGAAGCACGTCCAAACAAATACATCACACATATCCCATCAGAGCCGGCGAGAATCACAGCAGATCCAGATTTATTAACAGAGATTTTATTAACGGAGAATGCCACCTGGAGATCTGGTTGCATCACCTGTAAAATCAATCATCAGTAAGATCATACACGAACTCTTCCTAAACCCTAATTTTCGAAAATTTTAGTGAGAAAGGGACCTTGGAAGGGACTGCGGCGAGGACGGAGGTAGGTTCAGGTTCACCCAAGCGGAGAGAGAGGCGGTGGAGGAGGTACCGAGTTGAATCCCAGTAGTATAGCCTTGAATCGCCGTCCCAAGCCATGAAGTTTCTCGGAAAGCGTTGAGATACGGCGGGTTCATCTTGGGAGGAAGGAGGAGAGGAGAAGACCGGGTGGGATTGGAGAGGGACCCACTGAATCGGAGCTTTTGGAGTGGGAGATCTACGTGGCTCTGGGGTATCATCTGGTTCTTGGAAGTTGAATCTCATAGTGTCTCTCAGGTCACTGAATCGGCGGAGGAGCGGGAAGGGAGTGAGCGGAGCTAAATGAGAAGCTTCAGAGACAATTGGAACGACGTCGTTTAAGTTCTCTACTTAAAAGCCATTAACTCAATGGGCTGCCTGGGCTTTAATAGGCCCATTTTTAAATAATTAAAATAATCTAATCTGATTCCTAAAGTCATCGTCGCCGTGATCTTTCTCCTCTTACCACCGTCGTCATCTCCATCCTCTTCGTCTTCGCCTCTCCTATACGGTGCGTTTTTTGTCTCTTTGTCTAACCGTTACGTCTCTCCAGGTATTCATCATTGTCGGAATTTTATAGGAATCTATTTGTATTTTCGATATCTAATTTGAAACAGAGAATTAATCAAATGTAGGGTTACAATTAGTGTATACGTGATGGATGCAGGTTATAAAATGGATAACTTGGAAGATCTGAAAATTGTGGTGGAGCAGTGGTCGAATCAAGGCATTGAGTATCTTCAGAAGATACCACCGTTTCAGCTTTATGCTGCTATTGGTGTTCTGTTGTTGACAACCATTTTGCTCCTATCATGTATGTAGCGGATACGACATTGTTGATCTCTTGTTCTTTGAGTGTTAGGCGTTAGTTTTGATAAGTACTTGTTGATCTCTTGTTCTTTGAGTGTTAGGTCCTATCATGCATAATGCAACCATCTCTCGTTTGGCATTGATAAGTACTTGTTAGGTGTAGCATGTTCTTCAATAGTTCTTTCTTGATTTTTTTTTTTCTTGTTAAAGTTGTCATTGGCTTATGCAGTTCGCTTGGCCAGACGTACCAATTCCAACACTGTACTCCTTTCTGGGCTGACAGGAAGTGGAAAGACTGTGCTTTTCTATCAAGTGAGTACTTTTGGCTTCACGATCCTTTCTTCTTATTGTTTTTGACTTTCTCCAAATGTTGTTTTTATGAAGTCAGCGTGAATGACTTAGGTGGTTGTATAACATGATAAATGTTTGATTGACAGCTCCGAGATGGATCATCGCATCAGGGGACTGTGACATCAATGGAACCGAATGAAGGCACTTTTGTTCTTCATAGTGAAAACGCTAAGGTAAAGATTCTCTCACTTTGGCCTGTTCTAAGCAACACTTGGAGTTGGTTACGAATCCACTTCCGGTGTATTCTCTGCGTTACAGAAAGGAAAAATCAAGCCTGTTCATCTTGTTGATGTTCCTGGGCACTCTCGTCTTCGACCCAAGCTTGAAGAATTCTTGCCCCAAGCAGCTGCCATTGTGTTTGTAGTCGACGCCTTGGAGTTCCTCCCTAACTGCCGTGCAGCTTCAGAGTAATTTCAATCTCCCTCACACACACACACAAGAGACATGTTTACATCTTGATAACACAATCTTAACAAATGAGACATTGCCATGGTTCTGTACGGTGACAGGTACCTATACGACATTCTGACCAATGCCAACGTTGTCAAGAAGAAGATACCAGTCCTCCTTTGCTGTAACAAGACGGATAAACTCACTGCACATACCAAGGAGTTCATCAGGAAGCAGATGGAGAAAGAAATGTAATGTATTTCAAATCTCTTATCTTCTCCCGGAAAGAAAATCATCATCATTTGTTTATGAACTTTTTTGCTTTTTGTTGCAGTGAGAAACTGAGGGCTTCGAGAAGTGCAGTATCTACAGCTGATATAGCCAATGACTTCACCATTGGGATCGAAGGCGAAGTGTTCTCCTTCTCGCATTGCTCTAACAAAGTCACTATCGCTGAAACATCTGGACTCAACGGAGATACCATTCAGGTCCAAGACTTCATTCGAGAATACATCAAGCCCTGAGAGCTAACATGTACACATCCGTAGATTGAATCTTATCATAAGATTTCTTATGCTTTGGTCTGTAACTTTGTTTTGAATTTAGAGGTCCTTTGTACATTAGTTACTGTCAGAGATTCGTAGCTATATTTTCTGAGTTGGATAATCAGAGTGTTTAAGAAAAAAATTGAAAGACAGTCTACTCATCAGAAAAAAGAAGAATCGTTATGCTGATAAGTAATGATACTTATCTACGATACGGTAAGCGGGGAGTCCTTAAAAGTTAAAACTGGTTAAGACAAAAAAAAATCGGTTTATTACAATGATCACGTGAATATCACATGACATCTAGATCTCTCCGTGTTTCAGACAACTTAAAGTCATCGCCTTTGCCCTTTTAAGGTAGGAGATGAAGAAGTAAAATCTCTGACATGGCCGGATCCTCCACCAGCGAATTCCGGTGGAAAGCACCGCCGCAGCCACAACCTCAGCCTCCGACACAACAACAACAACCAAACATCTCCGATTCAGATTCTGATTCAGGATCCGATTCAGACAACAACCATCACAACCGCCACAATGATCTATCCAACACCATCTTCAAAGCTTACCTCGATTGCCACTCATCTTCCCCATCTCCCTCTTCCATTGACCTCTCCAAGATCCAATCTTTCCTCTCCTCCTCTTCCTCAGGAGCCGTCTCTTGCCTTATCTGCCTCGAGCGGATCAAACGCACAGATCCCACATGGTCCTGCACTTCCTCATGCTTCGACGTCTTTCACCTCTTCTGCATACAAGGATGGGCTCGGCAGTGTTTGGACGTACAAGCCGTCTTAGCAGTCACAAGACCGAGTTCGACAGAAACAGAACCGGTGTGGAACTGTCCGAAATGTAGATCGACGTATCTTATGTCAAAGATCCCAAGTCGGTATCTTTGTTACTGTGGGAAGGAGGAAGATCCTCCGGCGGATAATCCATGGATCTTGCCGCATTCTTGTGGTGAGGTTTGTGAGAGGCCGTTGAGTAATGATTGTGGTCATTGTTGTCTGTTACTGTGTCATCCTGGTCCTTGTGCCTCGTGTCCTAAGCTTGTGAAAGCTAAATGCTTCTGTGGTGGTGTTGAAGATGTTCGTCGGTGTGGTCACAAGCTGTTCTCCTGCGGAGAGGTCTGTGATAGTGTGTTGGATTGTGAGGTTCATAAGTGTAGAGAGATTTGTCATGAAGGTGAGTGTCCTCCGTGTAGGGAACGCGCGGTTTATAGGTGTTGTTGTGGTAAAGTGAAGGAGGAGAAGGATTGTTGCGAGAGAGTGTTTAGGTGTGAGGGTTCGTGTGAGAATAAGCTTAACTGTGGGAAACATGTGTGTGAGAGAGGTTGTCACTCTGGAGAATGTGGAGGGTGTCCTTATCAGGGGAAGAGGAGTTGTCCCTGTGGGAAGAAGTTTTATCAAGGCTTGTCTTGTGATGTTGCGGCGCCTTTGTGTGGTGGGACTTGTGATAAAGTTCTTGGTTGTGGTTATCATAGGTGTCCTGAGAGGTGTCATCGTGGTGCGTGTCTTGAGACTTGTAGGATTGTGGTTACTAAGTCTTGTAGATGTGGAGGGACGAGGAAACAGGTTCCTTGTCGTCAAGAGTTGGTGTGTGAGAGGAAATGCCAGAGGATGAGAGATTGTGGAAAGCATCCGTGTAGAAGGCGTTGTTGTGATGGTGAATGTCCACCATGCTCTGAGGTAAGTGCATGTGTATAGTGAAATGTTTTTGTTTGTTCACATTTGGGTTTTAATGGTTTTTGTTATAAAAAAGTTCAGGTTTGTGGGAAAAAACTGGGTTGCAGAAACCATAAGTGCCAGTCTCCTTGTCACCAGTATGTTCTTTAGTAGCTTCCTAATTTATGACCAACGTTATGATTGATTAAACGTTGTGTATTGTAAGATATTAACTCATACACGTGGTGTGACATTACTTGTTGATGTGTTCATTGCAGAGGGCGGTGTGCTCCTTGTCCAATAATGGTATCAATATCATGTGCTTGTGGTCAGACGCATTTTGAGGTGAGATATGTGAATAGTCTTTGATACTCCAATGAGAGTGTTAATACTTCCATTGTTATTGTGGGTCTGTAGTAAGTTCTTAATTTAGTTGGATGCAACTAGTGAAAGAAGTAGATGTTGCTTACACATTAAAAGAGAGACTATAAGCTTATATTAACTAGAAGTCTTCAGAAAAAAAAAATGTTATGAGGCCTTGTTATAGTCTTATAGATACTTCTTTGGCTTGTTGAACAAAAAAAAAAGATCTTCGTTGGCTATATATCTTTGTGTCCGCAGGCTTTTGAATGTGTTTTATGTGGTTCAGGTACCTTGTGGCACTGAAAATAACCAGAAACCTCCTAGATGCCGTAAATTATGTAATATAGCCCCATTGTGCAGGCATGGACAAATCCAAAAGGTAGAAATATAATCAGAATAAGACTTTTACAGTTTCAGTGACTGTTTGGATATTTGTGGACTTTTAAGTCATGTATTAACTATGCAGCCACATAAATGTCACTTTGGTGCTTGTCCTCCATGTCGGCTCCCTTGTGATGAAGATTACCCATGTGGGCACAAATGCAAACTAAGGTTTCTCATGCTCGTCTCTTTCTCATTTATTTTTTCTCTCCTAATTTCTTATCTTTTCCCTTCTTATAAACATTGGCTTTTGTGCGCATAGGTGTCATGGTCCTAGACCTCCACCAAACAGGGAATTTATCTTGAAACCGACAAAGAAGATGTTGAATATTCATGTTGAGTCTACACCTGGTTCCCCCTGCCCTCGATGTCCAGAGCTTGTCTGGAGGCCTTGTGTAGGCAACCATCTGGCAGCAGAGCGAATGGTTAGTCTCAACTCTCTTTTATAGTATTAGTTATGTCAAATGCATGTCTGGTCTCAGACTTGTTAACTGTAGACTTTGAGATCTTCTTTTATAGTTTTTTTCCGACATTTGATATGTTTTTGTTGGCTTAGATGGTTTGCTCTGACAAGACTCAGTTTGCATGCGATAATTTATGCGGAAACCCTCTTCCATGTGGGAACCATTACTGTTCGTTTACTTGTCATCCCCTGGAAATAAGAAGTTCATCTTTGGATAAAAGAAGTGAGTCCTGTGAGAAGTGTGAACTCCGCTGTCAAAAGGTACTTATGTTAATGTTAAAACTCTTTATGGAGTCAGTTTAAGTCCGAGGAAAGACTTTCTTATCTTCCATACTAATGTACAGGAGAGATCACCACGATGCCAACATCCCTGTCCTCGGAGATGCCATCCAGAAGATTGTCCACCTTGCAAAACTCTAGTAAAGAGATCATGTCACTGTGGGGCTATGGTGCATGCATTCGAGTGCATTGAGTACAATACATTGTCTGAGAAGGACCAGTCGAAGGCCCGCTCATGCCGTGGACCTTGTCACAGGTACCTAACTAACTCGCTGGTTTTGTATTTTATGTGCTTCATCTTTTCAACAGTTTTGAAACTAGAGGCTGTTGCTGTTTACAGAAAATTACCAAACTGTACGCATCTGTGTCCGGAGATATGTCATCCTGGGCAGTGTCCATCGCCAGACAAGTGTGGTAAAAAGGTAATGTTTCCAACTCTCTATGATGCAACTGTGTCAAGTTTATATTCATTTGAGATGCTGTCTCTGTTACAAGTGGGATCTTACTTGTCTATTGATTTGATTGATGGAACAAGGTGGTTGTTCGTTGCAAGTGCCTAACTTTGAAAAAGGAATGGGTATGCAAAGATGTTCAAGCAGCACATAGGGCCACAGGTTCTGATCCTAAAGAAGTACACAAGAACCAGTTTGGAGTCGGCCTCCTCCCCTGTGATTCCAGCTGTAAGAGCAAGCAACAGATGGCTGAATCGGTGTTACAACAACGCAATGTCAAAGAGATTGAGGTTAGTTGAAACCATAAAAATTGATCTCATTCTCAAGCAACTCTCACATAACGATCTTCCGTGCAAACATCTTAGGAGAAGGAGGAGCCTAGTGGGAAGAATGCAACAAAGAGAAGGAAGAGGCGTGAACGAGGTCAGGACATTAAGGAGACCTCAAGGCTGCAGGTAATTTTTTTAATCTCTTGTTGAATATCTAGAAGACACAAGTATGTCTCATATTTTGTCGTTTTTTTTTTGTTTCTTCTTTGCAGAAACTTACTGCTGCCACAAAGAAGGTGCTGATGTTGGTGATGCTAATTGCTTTTCTAGTTGCTGTTTCATACTACGGTTATAAGGGGATCTTGTGGCTTTCGGATTGGATGAATGAAGTCGAAGAACAAAGACAAAAGTCTAGAAGGTACCCGCGTATCTAAAATCGTTTTTGAGAGTTTTAGCTTCTCAAGCTTTGAGCCTGATACTGTCTAGTTACAACACAGTTCAAAGAAAATTAGAGAGATTTTCAGTTTGTTTTGTTGGTCGTCTTCTTTTGCTTTTAGCATATTTTGATATTACTTTTTTTTCTGTCCGAATACAGCAAAACTGCAATATATGTATCTTGTCTGAACGTAAAATTTTATAAAATGGATCACTATAGTTTTAGAAAATTTAGATGAAACTTTGTGTAATGATGAAATATGAAAAGTCTTCTTCATTCATTCAGTAGTATTGAAATCTGATTTAAGCTCTTATTCAAATACACCACATTTTGTTCTTCTACTTGCAATAACTGATCTAACGGTAAAAACCAAAAGCTTCACCATCAAAACCTGATTTTAACTAACTTAAAGCCATCAGGTCTGGTAAGTGAGAGCTGACAGAGAAACTAAGCCATCCCTTTCTCTCCACTAGCTTCAAACACGGTTGCAACACAAGCCCAATCACAACAGCCACAAAACTCACCACCGCAACTTTCAAGTTGGAAAGCGCCACAATGAAACCAATCAACACAGTGGGAGGAACACACATAAGCACCGACCCCCAAACCCCAACAGGTATCTTAAAAGGCCGTGAAGCAGCCGGATACTTAACCCTCAACCTCACAAACGCTATAAACTCCATCACCATCCCAAAACAATACAACAGATTCTCCGCAGCAACAATCTCCTGGAAACTCAACCACGACAACAAAACCACACCAGAGGCAGAGAAGAGTATCCCAACCCAAGGAGTTCCGTACCTAGACCTCTTAGCAAAGACGTCAGGAAGCATCCCACGCTCAGCCATACCAAGAAGCTGAAACGAATCACTACTCATCTCAGCTAAAAACATCCCAATGTTGGACGTAGCAGCCGCAGCTTGAATCCACCAACTCAACCAAACTCCTCCTCCTATAACTCTCCCAATCTCCGCGAAGTAGCCATCAGTCCAAAGCTCCTGATCAAGAGGCAGAGCTCCAGTCCCGGCCAAAACAGGGAAGATGTAAGACAACACAACGAGAAGCAACGCGTAGAACAGAGCCTTGGGTAAAGTTCTACTCGGGTTAACAACTTCTCCAGACAGAGTACTAATCGAATCCCAATAGTTCAAGTTCCAAAACAGAGTATTGAGATAAAGCCCAAAGTCAACACCTTTAAGGCCCTCACTAACCACAAACCACCGTAAAGGCTCAACCTTTGGCACCGACATCAAACACATCACCACAAAGGGTAAAATCGAGAACACTCCGAGCAGAACAGCAGTCAAACCAACAATACTCAACCCTCTGTAATTAACATAAGTCAACGCGAAAGTCAACGCGAGAACCGCGTTGGCGCGGGGGAGGCCAGAGGATATAACGGGGAAACCGGATTTGAGGTAGTCGAGGAAGAGGATGGGGTAAAGAGCGTTGTCTATGACGCCGCTGAGCCACTTGACCCAACCTTGCTGAAACCCCCAGTAAGGGCCGAGAGAGGAAGAGACCCAGACGACGTAACCGCTGTTCTCGGGGAACATGGTGGACATCTCGGCGGTGATGAGGGCTTCGGGGATGGACCAGATGAAAGGGAAGATGATGAAGCCGAGGATGGTTAGTAACGGTCCTGCGGCTTTGACGCTGTCTTCGATTCCGAATGGACCGCCTGAGACTTCGTAGAATATTAGGAAGATTAGTGGGAGTAGTGAGATTTTTTTGCGGTTGGGTGTCGGAGATGGAGATGGTGGTGGTGTTGTCCCTGTGCCTCCGTCGTAATGCATCGTTGCTCTTCGCTCTCTCACCTTCGGTTCCTCCGTCTCGAATTTTCTGGATCAAATGCTAGAATAGACCAAAAGGGGACAAGAAAAAAATATCTCAAATAGACTCATGTTATTTTTTATTTTAGTTTATATTTAATTTTAGATAAAAATCTAGCTAAAAAAAATTAAAAGAATTCAATATATTTAAGAATTCATATTTTTATTATCTTACCCAGAATCTGACCCAGATTCAGATTCTAAATCCGACCCAACTAAATACTAAATCTTCTACTTATTCCTCTATACATGACAAAAGAAAATGCAGGCTCATGTATCATTTGTTTTGTTGTTAAAATTAAGAATCATACTCCCTCTATATTTAACAGAATGATGTTTAAAGTTTTTCACACACATTAAGAAACAAATAAATATAGTCTTTTAATTATTACTCACTCACTCCTCTGTTTGCTAGACTTTACCGTTTTGTTTACTCTTTCCTTTTTTAAACCAGATGTGACAAGTTCCATTTTTTCTTAAAGCAGAGAGCATGAAGCAGTACAAATGCCCTTCTTGCTGCACTAAAAAAGGAAGACAGTAAGTGATCGGTAGCTCTCTTTGTTGTGTTATAAATTTCGGAGTGACAGGGAGTTCTATAGAGAGAGTCATCAACCTGTTCATCAATTTGATTAATGATGCCTTTATTGCCTTCGCTTGTATATGTAGCAACTCTTAAGTAATCATAGATTGAGCCTTAATGAGACAAACTACATTTTTATTACACACATTGGATTTTACAATTCACAAAGCGATGAAACAGAGTAAAAAACATTGAAAGACGGTCACAATAGTCTCATAAAGAAGGTAATATCAAATCACCTCACAAGCAACTTCTCAACGTTAATATGGTTGCTCTCTTTGGTCAATCTATTTTACAGATTTGATTGTTAAATAAAATGAAAGTGAGTATGCACCTGTGGAAAACATCACATAATTAATTTATGTACGCAAAGAACCTGCGATTGTCACAATGACTACGTAAACATGCACATGAAGCAAACAGGTGTGCAGGCTTTCTCATATGTTCCACCATTTTCGCTTCTCCATTTGTTTAGCGAGTTCATGTGCCATTGATGCAAAGTTCTCAGCACCGTCTTGGAGCTCAGCTGTTCGTTGGCTGATCCTCTGGAAGACCAAACAAATAAAAATATGTTTAGCTTGGCAACATGTAAGTTAAAATGAAGATGAATGACTCTACTGCATAATTTATTACCTCGAGTTTTTCTCCACGCTCAAGAAGTTTGTCCTTTGCTTGTGAAGCTATTGCTGATGTTTCCTGAAAAATTACCAAACCATGTTATGAATAGAATCCAAAACTTCTCTTTTGAGTTAGTCGCATTGGTTTTGACTCACCCCTGCTTTTCTGTACTTGGCCTTTATTTCATCAACTGTTCTTGTTTTGGGTTGTGCATCGCTGGATGCACCGTCGAACAGTTTTTCCTTATCTGTTCTCTTATCTGAAAAGAAACCTTAGATTCATCAGGTGCGTTCATAATGATAATAAAAACATAACTTGAGGCAACACAATATTTTTACCTTTCTTTTCTTTTTTGTCTTTCTCCTTTGAAGGCAAGATGTTTAGTGGTTCATCTATCTCAATATCGTCTACAGAAAAGCAATTTTAGTCACAGGCCGGAAACAGAAGATGAGTAAATTGGTGTATCATTTACAAACCTATGTTTAGCTCGATAATCTTCTCATCATCGCCATCGATAACAGAAGGCTTTAGGTATGGTGGACTAGAAAAGATGTTCCCCAGGTGAGAGAAATCTAGTACTTGCTCCACCTTCTGTTCATTGCTTGATCTGAAGCCTTTAATAATCCCACTTAGGAATTTGGGAGTGCCATCCTGTGGTTACAAAAACTTTATAGCAAAATCATGGAGCTTACAAAAAAGGATGTTTACATGCGAAAACAGAACATACATGGTTTTTCTTATGGGCAGGCAATTGGCTAAAGGTAGCGTCAGCAGCAGCTGCAAGGACTTTGTCATGAAGCATAGGTAAAGACTCTGGAAGTCTGAGATGAATACAGAGCTAGGTATTAGTAAGTTAACTGCTACTTTGCTAGCTAAGTATGCAAAATTTCTAGTTGTATTCACTGAGAAAATATGTACCTGAATCCGTTTGCATGGGCCAGAAACGAAAGGATAGAAACTTCACAACCATTCACCTGTAAATTTAGATTTTAGTCCTAAACATCTGAGATATTAAATATTCTCTTTATGGTATTATACATGCCAACTCATAAATCAAGATCTAACTTCACAATTACTATAGCCTTCAAAGGCCCCCATAAAGTTTGGTAAACATACAAATATATTAAGAAGTCTCACCAGGAAGAGATGGCCAAAATCATCCGAACATACTGTCTTCTCCATGTTAGGCTTAAAATTCCAACTAAGAAGTGAAAGCAAAGAGCTCTCTCCCACAACTTCAAGATTCGGGAATGATCTGTTCATATAAGCAAAGCAGATGATTTCTGAGCAATTTATGGATCATCTATAGTATTAGTGGTCCGTTACACTAAATAGTTACAGGATTAGATTTGGGTAACTAAGCTTTATCTGGCTTGTATATTATAGTTGTGGTAGCCAATCAGAACATCACCTTATCTCAATATGCCCTGTTTTGTAAAGCAGGAGTACTGCACATTCCCTTCCATCCTTTTTCAGGGTTCCCATCCAGCAACACGGCCTTGGAAGATTTACCTCCATAGTGCTCTCAAGACTTCCCTAGGTATTGAAAGCAGGTCACTGTTAACAGAAAACGCCAGCAATATATTCCAGGAATCATAAATTAAGATAGATGCTCTAAATCTCTAATATACCTGCGATATCGACTTTAAAGAATACAAGCGCAGTGCATCCTCAGAACACATGAGAAATAATGAATTCTCAAATGTTGTTTCCGTGACAGCATTCTGTTCACCACCTGGTGAATGACTCTCACTTGCATTGATCAGATGAGATTTGTTTTCATGTTTCTCCTTCCCATTTAGATTTTCAGCTGGTGTTTCACTGGGCATTTCAGAGTGTTCATAGCAGTTCTCTGCAAAATACAATTTTTTTAATATATTTGCTAGATGCGTAAGAAACACAATTTTATGTTGTATCAGAAAAATACCTATAATGTGCATACAAATCGCAGCTGAGTTCTTCAGAGGTTTCAAGCATGGGGCGAGCATTTTCCCACTGTTGCCATCGAAAAAAATGGTCTGCCCATCCTTGGTCATTGCACACAAGATTAAATCATCAAGAGCTTCAGAATTTATGGAGTTCTGATCAGTTGGAGCTGGTGAGGATTTTACACAAAGTGACTTGATCGGGGAACCGGTGTCAGATAAGCTATTTGTAACAAACATTACTGATGGCGCACTAATGTCGAGCATTGCAACCTGAAATATGAAATGAAAAGTAGAAATAATTTGAAACACTTTCAACTAGAGAGGGCGGCTAAAGGCGGAGACTTAGAGTTAAATCCTTACCTTGCCACATTTAAATCCCACAGCAAGCCTTCTTGTAGACTGCACAAATCCCAGGGTGCAAACTGGGGAACTCAGGAAGGAATACGCAGCCAACCATTGAGGTCCATCTTCTTGATGTAAATGGTGAACTACAAGTAATGAGTCTACAGCATGAGATAGAGCAGAAAAAATTTAGTGTAAACGTTGTAATGATTCGTTGTGTCAAAGTTCCAAACCTTGTTTGTCAGTGTTGGTAACAACTTCCAAATTGCCTCCACTTTTATTGCCGATCAGCTTGAATAGGCGAACCTACAAAGCCAAAAAAGTGAGAGAAAATCAGATGGACATTAAAAGCTGGAGTCAAAAAAGTATCAGCAGAAACAGGTATTCTTACCATACCACTTTCGTTACCAACAGCCAAACAAGAAGTCTTAGAACAGAAAGAAATTGCTGTTACTGATGCATCTACTCCAGTTATGCCAATACCATTTGCCTGGTCATTAGTAAAGGTTAATTAATTATTGCAGGCAAAACTTCTCAACAAAATATCAATCAGCTTATACAGAAGTTTTCAAGATAAACGTCAAAAGAAGGGAAGATACAGCCTTCATACTTTGGGCTTCAAGTCGTAAATGAGAGATAGGCATGGATAGGTTGCATCCCATATTCGGAGAGACCCATCTTGATATCCTGCTATGTACAGTCGCTCAAGCTTGTAGTCATCAAGATGGCTTGGAACACCACCTGTTAGCGGCCATTGTGCACTTTCTCCAGATGGAGTACGTGGTGTTCGAGATTTTGCAGCTACGACTATCTAGCAAGAATAAGATATAAATTAATAGCATCACAATGGGAAGCAACAACTTGGGAAATTTGTGGAGGGACTACCTCAGATAAAGCCAGTGACGGCTTGTCATTTACATTTAATGCAGCAAACATTGCTACTGTCATCCGTGGATCCATCGTCGGTACAACCATTGGATATGGCAACGGAGAATCAGAAATATTATTCTCTTTCTGAGACATCAGAGAGGCTAGAGAGGCATCATCATACGCTTGCAATTGTCCTGGATTTGTCAGCAGGAATAAAAACACCCCACTTTGCCTTGAACTAGCAATTGGAGACAAGACCATATCAGCAAATGAACCACTAAGGGTCAAGTCCACACGGCCAACACATTTCAGACCTCCCATACCAGACGACCAATCGAGAGCCAACATCTGCGTAGAATGATCAGTATAAATACATCATATTAGGATATAAATTTGCATATGCAAGGTAAGAATTCATGTTTGGGTTTCCCTTGTACCCTAAAAAATGCATCCTGTTTAGAAAAAAAGATTGTGATTCTGCTTTATATGTTTTATTTAGAAATATGCTCAAGTTATATTTCGTCTAAGATCAACAATCTGGGACGAAGAAACTTTTAAACCTGGTGCTGGTTCTTACCGTCAGTACTTCATCAGAACCAATGATATCACCACCATAGATAAAAAGTTTTCCACCACAATTCTTGCGAGTCACATCCAAGCACCAATGCATAACAATAACAGGAAGTCTTTTCTCAGCTGAAGACAACTGTAACTTAACAGCATGATTAGATGCCTTTCCCTTTTGCCCCTCAGAAAAGTCCCAAAATAATATATCTCCATCCACGTAACCAACAGCAAGAACTGAACCATCAGCTGATGCCCAACACAGAGAACTTATCTCTTTCCCATCTAGTTCAAGATCAGAAAGCTCATCGTGTGAGGCTTCCAGAGAATCATTGACTGTCTTACCCTCCATAGGTAGATCTTTGTTCCCTCGAACTAACACCACACGATCTTCTGATGCATCCCAAAGAAAAAGTAATCCATTTGAGAACGCAATCAACAATCTGCAAGATAACTCTTTAAAATTCATTATTAAAGTTAATCATAAAAAGATGGTCTTCTAGCTTATTATTTCTAATAAGACACTGAAATAGCATAGCAAAAATAAGGTAGAAATGAAAATGCCTTTTTATTCCTTCCAGCAACAAAATTTCCAGATGGTGTTCTAATTTGAACATTAACAGTAGGGGAGATGGGAGCAGAAAAATAAAGCATTGATCGAGGCAGTAAGAACAGGCCAGCTTATTTGGTACTTAAATATGTGATTTCACAAATGCTAGGACAAGCTCAGAGAGTCAGATTCAGAGCAGAAATGCATTCCATCTAAATAAAATAAATTTATTCTCACCTGGTTCCTCTTGAAGAAGGCTGAGAAAGAAGTCCAACAACAGGATAGTCAATAGGTGACGAAAGCCCTGCTGCTTCTGCGGAAAGAGAGAAAGGGGAGCAAAAATGTTGAAAGAAGAATTAAAATGCAACAGGGAAGGTCTTTTGTGTTTGTATTTAATTCGAAATATGATACGCAATCAAAATACCAGGAGGATATGGTACTCATATAAACTTTTTATGAAAACGATAAACAGGCAATAATTTACTCGGCCAATAGTTAGGTGAAGGCAGATAGACATTAACTAATAACTCCATCCAGAAAACTAAAACTTTCTAAACTTAGAGATACAAGAGACATTTGATCACCAGGTTGAAAGAGATACCCCATACCAGCTAACGCATCAGTTGGAACATAATAAGGAAGATGCACCAATCTTCCTTCGTCAGCATTGTACTTTACTACAGACACCATACCGTACTCATCACCAACATACCTGTGAACGAGATAACAAAGTAGTTAATGACGCCATTGTAAGTGTTCATAGAATAACATTGCTGCGAATTGTAATCTTACATGTAACCGGTGCCATGAAGGATTGAAAATGCAGTTATGTTTGACTCCCAAAGTAAGCTTGAAGCTGCCTTCCTAAGATCCAAGTCCCAAACCTAATAAATAATGTAATTTTTAGATGCGCTCGATCAGATGGTTGTTGAACAAAACGAGGGCAATTACAAGTTGAGAGTGGAGAGACATCTCTGGATATTACAGAAATGTCAAACATCATACAAAATGGTACCTCAATCTCGTTGTCATTTGAGATGCTGACCAGAAAGCCTTGATTCTCAATGAACTATAAAGAAAACAGATATGATATCAAATGGAGTTATACTTGGGATCACAAAGCGGGAGGAGAGCAATATATATCTAAAGTTCACAACATAGTTGATCTCTTCAGAAGGCGATAGCCTATAGAAATAACATTTTTCCCACTCCAACACTCAAATAGATAAACTAGACAGATACTGGAACATGAGAATTCATTTATTATGTGATTGAACTTCTTGTAAACCAGTATTAAGAGGAAAGGAAACTACACTAGCAAGGAGGACATCAGGAAATAGAAAAGGCACTAAATCGAAGCTATACAATTAGCCACCTATACTTTGAAACTGAATGTGAAAATAACAAACTAAAAAGTGAGCAGAATACCACAACAAACCTCTAAGTTTTTGAAAGGGAACTGCTTAGGGGATGAAAGAATCGCCTCAATGTTATCACCACCAATCACTTTTATCCTTCCATCTCTGTGAATTGTTACCAAAAAGAACAATAACTTATAAATTCAAATAAAACTGGAACCAACAGAGATGGTTATCAGAGGTACTGTAGTAACTATAAGGGCCTGAGAAAGATTTAATTATCAAACTTTTTATACGTAATTGTCTCTCAAGAGGTGACCAGGCGAGAAGAAGAAAGAGACTTACAGTGTTCCCACAGCCAAGAGGCACTGAATAGGGTCAAAAGCAAGAAGAGACGCCGTGGAAGGTATCCCATAGTGTGAAACAACATGTGGATCCAAATCTTCTGCTATCAAACATCCCTGCAAATGATCCATCCATCACATGAACTACTTCTAAACAAGACAAAGCATTCATTCTTGGCATGTAAATAAAAAAAGGTTGAAGCTAAATGCGTGATGCAATTACTAATCAATCCTTAATGAGACTCTCAAGTTCTCGTCTCCAACAGATTCTAAGTAATGTAACACATCCACTAATCATTCCAAATTTATTTAACAGATTCTAAGTAATGTAACACATCCACTAATCATTCCAAATTAATAAGATATAGTCATCAAATTAATTTTCAAAAAAAAAGAAAACAATGAACAGGTCATGCTCAATCCTCAATAATAGTAGAGCAAAAGAGGCGAGGAAGGGAATACACGTGGCGGGGGAGCTGGAGCAGACTTATGAGCACCACCACCGGAGGCTTTCTGCAGAAATTTCTTGGCGAACATCGAGTCAAATCCGAATAATATGAGCCGATCGCTCACTCTTTTTCTCGGGGATCAGATAGCTTCGGAAGGCGGAAAGATAAGTTAGCTTTGTTGAAGAAGATGAATTGTTCGTTGAGAGATTTTAATCGCAGAAGAATGAGGAAAAAACTTTGAGATTCGATTTGAGAGAGAAAGAGTCAGAGAGAAGAAGAAGATGACCGAATGATTTGAAATTTCAGTGTTGATGCCTTCCGTGATTTCTCAAACCGGTTTGGTTTTTGGTTGAACCTTAAATTAAAAGTCGGTTTGGGCTAACGCGCCGGTTTATTAAGAAAAAAAAATGAGGATATGCAAAAATCAAAGAAAATCCATTGGGCCAACAACAGAGCCCATTAAGAGAGAATGCTGGTCCGGTTTGTTTCGGTTTAACAGAGATCTCGTCTGGTTTAACGTAAGAGAGATTAGACAGAACCGAACAGAATAGGACAGAACAGAAAAAGGCAAAGTCGCTCGTTGGGACCAAAAAACATAAAACTGCCCATACGGCTGCTGACGTCACCGCCGGTCATCAATGTCAGGCACAAGTATCCCCTTCTCCAACTTTTTTCTTCTCCTTTGTTTCTTATCCTACACCGTGTTCTCCTCCGTTGCGCACGTTAGAAACAAATAATGGAGACGACAACGCCTCCTCCTCCTCCGGCGACGCTGTCAAACCCTCACCAACCACATTCCATTGGGTCCCACCGTCATCCGTTGGGAAGAGAAGAGTGGTGGAGCGAGGAAGCAACGGCGACGCTGCTCCAAGCGTGGGGGCATCGTTTCCTTAGACTCAACTTCGGGAATCTCCGGCAGAAGGACTGGAAGGAACTCGCCGACGTCGTGAACTCGAGCCATTGTAACGGCCGTCCGAAGACGGACACTCAGTGTAAGAACCGGATCGATACATTGAAGAAGAAGTACAAAGCGGAGAAAGCTAAGCTCTCTCCGTCGTCTTGGCGCTTCTTTGACCGCCTTGACGTTTTAATCGGTCCCGTCTTGAAGAAACCTGCAGGGGAAGTTGTCAAGTCAGAGGCTTTAGAACCTTATCTGAGTTTAACTGGTAACAAGTATAGGGAAAGCTCTCTTGAAGATGATGAGAAAGAGGAAGAGGAGGAGGCTGGTGAGTGGGGGTTGGTGGCGAGGAAGAAGCAGCCTCGTGTGGAAGAGGGAGATTTGAGTGAAGAGTCTGTGTGTAAAGGACTAGCTAGAGCAATTCTGAAGCTGGGGGAGGTTTACGAGAGAGTAGAAGGTAGGAAGCAGAAGATGATGGTGGAATTGGAGAAGCAAAGAATGGAAGTTGTTAAGGATTTAGAGTTACAAAGAATGAATATGCTGATGGAGATGCAGTTAGAGCTTGAGAAATCAAAGAACCGGAAACGTGAGGGTGGTTCAGGTAAGAACATAACTCTATGTTTCTATGCATCTCTCATTGCAGTTTTTGTGATAATGTCATGTTCTGTTATTAGACCTCTTGTAGAGCGTATGGTTCAAGTGTCTTTAATCAATCAAAAGCTCATTGCTCTAGATTATTTGGTGAAGCTAAATATTAAATTGATATACATCACGCTTAACAGCAGGGCATGGATGAGCTTACGTTTCTTTAAACTACTTGAATGTTGGAACTGGGTGGAGATTGAAAGTTGACATCCAAGTCTTTGAATTAAGAAATGAATCATTCAAAATGTTTCTATTATTCTAACAAAATTCTTGCTGAAGTTTAAACTTGTTTGGTTATTGTACAGGCAAGAAATAGTGTGGTGAAGCAATGAAGATGTACTTAACTATGCTTAAGCTCTTTGCAAATTGGAGTAGGGAGGCCTGTTCGGATTTGCTAATCTGTAGGATTGAAATTACACAACTCTTTAGAAAGCCTTTTTCTCTTATCGTCTAGCATCATATAGGGTACATTGTTGTAATAGAGAAGATAATGTAAATCCATGTATTGAATGATGACTACTGTTCGTGACCTTGTGAAATTGAAAACCAACAGCGCCTAAAAGCCAAGGTTAATCTCTTCATTTCCTGCATATAACGTTTTCCTTAAAGTCATAAAAATGTGATGGGAGAAGCGGAAGCTTTAGCACTTCTCAATCTTAAAATGTTGCGGTTGCTCCAGAAAACATGAGCTTAATTGTTAGTGTTCAAATTGTGTCACCATAATGAAACAAAACGCAACGTGTCAACTCTCTAGTCGAAACCCTTCTTATTCAAAGACGCATGAAAACAAATAATTCCGGGTTTAGGTAAAAGTTTGTCGAGAAATTTCCAAACCGACCAAAACCGATTTCTTTCTTCCAGCTTCAGTTCCAAACAATGAACAAGACACTCAGCAGAGCCACCGCTATGAAATCATCAAAGATGGCATCAAGAAGATGGTGTTGAGAATGTCAGGAAAAATCCAGATTTTGCACGATCGTGTTCTTGTTTCTTCACTATGTGGCAGTAGTTAAGCTGCGATAAGAAATAACAAAAGGGGACAATCAATCTCTGTTTAAAGGGTCTAATCATTCTTGATAAGAAGATAGAAGTAACTAACCTCCATGCGAAATAGACTAGTTGGTAACACAATTCCTGCACCTACTGAGCTTCTGAATGTCTCCAAAAACTTGGGAGCAGTGAAATTACGATACTTGTTCCCTGATAACTCCGCCATATTCCCAGCACATGCAAACACATGCCCGTGGATGCCTCTCTCTCTGAACCATCTCAACGGGAAATCAAAAGAAAGGTCTGCAAATGCAGTAACCGCAGCATCACCTCCCACGAAATCACGCCCATATGAGTCACCACTCTGATCGTCTTCTACTTCCCTCCTGGGCTCGTTAGGACCCAGTCCCCTTGTCTTGAAACCCCATAACGCAGATGGTCCTCCCAAAGAACACACAGGTGATATGTTTCCACCCAAGAAGAACCTCTCCGAGATAGAAGAAGCTCTGCTCTTGTATCCGCTTCCCCATGGAAATGTGATTCCTCCGGATACACCAAAGTTCAGAGCAGAACGGTAAAAACCAAGTGGAACAGCACATTTAATATCAAATTCCTGACAGAGAGTAAAAAAACACATATATTAAATCAATCAAAGGGCTAATCAATCTTTCCATTTAGATCACAAAAATCAAGTAAATGATGGAAACAAGGATGCAGAATCTCAAACCTGACGCAAGAACCGAAGTGTTCGACTATCAGGCACAAGACCACCTATCTGAGAAGTGGAAATGAAAGAGTATCCACGTGTTGGCCTCAAGGACGAGTTTCTCTCATCAACTTTGAAAGTATACTTCAAATCAGACACCAAACTATGCCCAATCTGTCTCCTTATCGTTCTTGACGCCATCTGCGTTGGATCAATCAAGTTACGCCACGCAAGCGTATACCCCACCTCATGATTCTGGCTCAAGAGAACCCCTAGAGAAACACCAAGAGCTCGTTCTTTGTAAGACGAAAACTTAAGCCAATCTTGCGTTGAGAGGTAAAGACGCGAAGTAAACGGAGATGGACGTCCTCTGAGCCTAGGTAGATACAACCCCAAACCAACCTCTCCAGAGTTGTCACAGCCATAAGCAAGTGAAGTGTCCCATATATCTCCATGGCCAAAAATGTTCTTGTACTTCAATGAGCCTTCAAGGCTTGATGACCTAGCCTACAAAAGAACATCAGACTTATGGACCTTTATTTTGGCAAGAAAAAAGGCCAAGCAATCTAAATAGTTTCTCCCAACGAGAATTGAACTGATTGGCAGAGTGCCTACTAAACACTCCTTTGCCACTATGATAACCAGTGCTCAAAAAATCGGTCTAGGCGCCGCCCTAATCGACAAATCGGATATGAGCGAAACGGTTTTAAACCCATATTTCAAAAAAATGTGCCAGTCTAACCAATAATCCTCTATAAAACGCCTAACCAGAGCCCAGCCTACAAAGAAAAGAACATCACAGACTTATGGATTTTTTTGTCAAGAAAAAAAAGGCCAAGCAATCTAAATAGTCTCTCCCAACAAGAATTGAACCCGAGTGGTGGAGTGCCTACTAAAACACTCCTTTACCACTATGCTATAACCAGTGTTCTAAACGTGGTCTAGGCGCCGCCTAGTAGTCAAATCGGATATGAGCGAAACGAGTTTATAAAATCAGTCTAGGCTTTAAAAAAATGTGCTCTCCTAACCAATAATCCTCTATAAAACGCCTAACCAACGCCTAGCGATTTTTAGAACATTGATGCTAACTAACATCTAGTTGGTATCAGACTCATATGGATTCACCTAAGACTCAACAATACAAATCAATTCCAAGAAAACGATGAAAGCTTATACCTCTGATTTAGTGGAGGTCCCAAGCAGAGCAGTGAGAGGGCTTTGGCTCTCGACGACTTTAACAACCACATTGGTTGTATCAGGAAGCTCGGGAGGACCAGCATCGAGTGTGATCTTAACCGAATCGAAGATATCAAGCGCGCGGAGATTGAAATTGGCGACGTTAGCAGCTTCTAGAAGCTCCTGCAACGTGTTCGCTTGCCTCACGCCTTCCACCTCGGCTTCGATCACGTGGTCCTTGGTCTTCTCGTTTCCCTTGACGATCACGTCGTGGACGCGAACCGGAACGGGAGACACTCCCATACGACGGAAGAGATTCTGCGCGTTGGCTCGACTCGCGGCAGCGTCTTCTCGCGATTGCGGTTTCGATGCGGTAGCTTCGTCATCGTCTTCTTCTCCCTCGTAGTCGTCTTCTTCTTCTTCTTCTTCTTCAATGTCTTCGAGTTTTTCTGTTACTTCGTCAGGGGTGGTTACATTCGGGTCGGGTTTATCCGCCGGATTCGCCATGAGAAGATGAGAAATCGGCTGTGAGATAGAGGAGAGGAGAGGACTCGGCAAATCGACGAATCAATTTGACGGCGTCCAAAAAAAAAAAGTGTTACTCCCTTGCTTAACCGGTTAGCTGATTTGTCCGGTTAGTTGGTTACGCCGGTTAGGAGTTTGGGCCGATTAGTGGATTAGGCTTAGGCCGGTTGAATACGGTGTTTGGTCCGGTTTCGGTTCGGTTTTTTTGGTTTTTGGTTATTCAGTTTATAAAAATTAGCTAGCATATTGGAACCATATTTAATTTGGTTTGATTCGGTATTTATACCACCGATTTTTGGTTTATTCGGTTTTACCAAATAACATTATTATTTGATTTGGTTTAATATTATATGAATTTAAAAAAAAATTGTCAAAACTATCATTTATTACTATGATGATCCTGGATGTTCATAAATATAAAAATGTGAAATTAACAACAAACAAAACAACCAACAATTTAGTTTTGTACAGCTTTTCTTATTTTCTCTTTGTTCTTCCAAATAAATTACATGGTATAATCTAATATCACAATTTCTTACAACATGCAAAATCAAATCAAATTTAGATAATAGTTGAAGAAAATAAAATAAAATTATTAAGAAATATCTTCACAAGAAATAAAAAAGTTTAAAAAAAAGACTATTCCAAGAAAATAAATGGTTATATAATGTATATATTTGTATATTTTTATTTGATCAGTTTTTTCTCGGTTTATTAGGTTTAATCGGTTATAAACCTAACCATATCCAAATCATACGGTTTTTATAAAATCATATCCATTCAATTTATGGTATATACCAAATCCAAACTATATTGTCTACTTCAATTCGGTTCGGTGTTACCATATTGAACATCACTAATTAGGCTTATAGAAGAGTACAGCAAAGCCTCTTTCTGGATAAAAATGTGATGTGATAGCTGATTAGGCTAATTTGGTGATTAAGCCCATTATCTGACATCACTAATTAGGCTTATAGAAGAGTACAGCAAAGCCTCTTTCTGGATAAAAATGTGATGTGATAGCTGATTAGGCTAATTTGGTGATTAAGCCCATTATCTGAGCAGGCCCATTAGATAATTAGGCCCGTTAGATGAGTAAAGAACACAGCAAAGCTTCTGTCTGAATCGGAAGTAGACAAAAGGTGGAATCTTTTCAAATTCATATATCCCTCTCTGGCCTTTGTTCATCGCTTTCATCAAATTCGAGGAAAGTGAGAGAGAACACAACAATGGCGAAGAACGAAAGCGGCTACGAGAGCTTGTTAGCTTCACTGATCGTAGACATCAAATCATACTCTGGGAAAGACAATCTTCTTCCCTGGATCCGGTAATCGCATCTCTCTGTTATTACGCTCTGTGTCTGAAAAGCATCCAAAGAAAACCTAATTAGTTGAGTAATGTTTTGACTTGATGTTTTTGTATTGATGGATGAATCTATGAAAATAGAGGTATTAAGAAGATGAAAGAGAGCTTGCCGCCTCAGATATTGAACGAGAAGCTGCCTCGGTTTCTCCAGAAATGTGCACAGTCATTTGAGTCTGATAAGAGATACCGTAACGATTCTCGGTATATTCGTGTTTGGTTGCAGCTGGTAAATCAACATTTACCCCTTGTTTTGTCACTTATTTGAAACTGAATCTGTTCTTTGTGTGTGTTTAGTAAATATGGGTGATCTCATTACTAAGCTGGCTTGTAAAAATCAAAGCTTTAAAAGGATTAGAACCTAAAAATGCTCTTTTTGACTATGAGAAGCAACTAAAAGAGAAGTGATTTGGATTTAAATGGTTTGAAGTTGTAGTCTGGATGAATTTTCAGCATAAACATTTGTTGATTGGTGAACTTATGGGTGATGATCAATTGTTTTGGCTAGATGGACTTTGTAGATGATCCCAGAGCTTTGTTAAGGACTATGGAAGCAAACAGTATTGGGACCAAGAGGTCACTCTTCTACCAGGCATATGCTCTTCATTATGAAAAGTTGAAAAGATTTGAGGATGCTGAGAAAATGTACCGTCTTGGTGTGCAAAAGTAAGTACTCTTTGTAAATTGTATCTAGTGATTAGGATGCGTAAGATGAGTAAATATCTTTATAAGGTGAACACATACAAAGTCATTGACTATATACCTCTTTTGTGCTAGCCTTGCAGAACCCATGGATGAGTTACAGAAATCTTACTTGCAGTTCCTTAGTCGCATGGAGAGGCACAAAAAGAAAAAGACACAGGTACCATTGTTTGATTGTTCAGCTTGTATAATCAGTCTTTTGCAAGTTCTCAAGATGTATCAATTTTTGTTTCCTCTCTGCAGCGTCAAGAGCTAAAAGCGTCTGAAAAGCACCAGAAGGCTGAGAGGTCACAAAAGGAGCCTAGATTGGCCAACAGTGCTGACACGCCAGTGTTGAGTTTTGTTGATAAAGCCGTTGTAGGAAAGTCTGAAACAGAAAATGCTTGCCATCACGGTTTGGTGGATCCCACAATAAACATGAAAGAAGCCATGAATGACATCAACAACATGTTCAAAGAGCCTATTGAAGCTGCTCCACTTCAAAGGAAACCACAACAGAGAAGTCAAGACAAAGAAAATCAAGGCGGATTTGAAGTTTTCGTGGATGAGAATCTCGAATGTGAAACGGGTTTAGGAGGAAAAGCAAAGGGTCCACAGCCTATTCAAGACTCGTTTGAGATATTCGTTGATGATGAAAATGATGATGAGGCTACGGATGAAAATGATGAGGCTAGCAAAGGGTTTGTCTTTCTCCAACCAAGAGACCATTCACCTGAAAGCTCTGAAGAATCAGACAGAAACAACAGTCCTCCTCGACCTAGGTTCAGAGAGGACACAATTGTTCGTAAGTTTGTTGGTTCAACAATCTCTGAAGAGCCAGCAGTTGAAAACGTCTGCCACCATGGCCTTGTGGACCCTACAATCAACCTAAAGGAAGCAATGGAGGACATAAACAACATGTTTGGCGAACCTATAGATTTTGTTAGACCCAACCGCTCTAAAAACAAGGGAAAAGCAGTAGAGGTGATGAAACCAGATGTCGCTGAAGGTTTCTCAATACTTGAGGATGATGATGATGATGAAGCTGAGCAGGAACATCAAGGTACGAGCCAAAAGCTGACTCAGATATCGCCTAGAAAATCAAACGAGCGTGATCTGTTTGAGCCAACAGTGTGCACAAAAGTAGCCTTGGATGAGATCAACAAATTGTTCGCAATGCCAATGGACTTCTAAGGAACAAGGTATCTCATTCCACTCCGTGTTTGTTTTCATAAAATAAAAAACAAGTGTGCTTAAGAGCAGATGCAACGTTTATGATTTGTGTTCCTGCTTTAATACCTCTCTGTTGTGTCTGTAATGGTGAGAACTATATGTTGTTGTATTACCTTGCAAAACATATATTTATTTCTGATATTGAAGAAATGTTTTATCAGCTTATATAACGTTGTATAAGGTCTATACAACAAGAGTCACATTACAAACACGTAACTCAATCTTACAAACACTTGGCAAACCATTAAAGAAAAGGGAAGAAGAACCAACTCAATAACACGTTTCTTGTGTTATTAGTATACGGTAATCTTTCAAAACACAAACCCGAATCAGTAAGTGGGTGGTGGTGCAGTAGCGGGACAATGGTCAGGACGGAAAGCCAATGGACCAGAGGCGTAAATCACAGCCTCATAGTTAGTCCACTTGAGCCTCTTATCTTCATACCGGAGGGGAGCACCATCGAGAGCATTGTTAATGTTGGAGAAGAGATTGCAGTCCTCACGAGGAGAAGAGACGAGCTTGGCACGGCAAGCGTGAAGAGGATGGTCCAAGAAATGAGTAGTCATTTTAAAGCCTTTGAGCTCACCGTAGAAATGACCGTAGGAATCAGTTTGAAAGACTTTGTAGAAGCTCACTTGTTGCCTGTGGTTCTTGCAAATGATGCTGACTTTAGCTCCGGCTATGGCTTCTGCTCCGCCCAACGACCATGATCCGTATTTGTCGCAGGATTGACAGTACACCATACCTTCCACCGCGGCTTCCACGGTTTTCACGCCGGGATATACGGTGGTTGGAGGAGGAGGAGGAGAGTAACCATTGGCCAAAGTCACCGTTGCAATGAGGATGACGAGAACAGAGAAGGACAAGGATCGTGCGTCCATGATTCTTGTTTCTTGGCAAATGTATTATGCTCCTCTGTTTCTTGTGATTCAGGGGAGAGAAGTACAAGTATATATATAGAAAGAAATAAAGACTGGTGTTTCTATAAAAATTTGTGTAATTAATTCAGAGAAAAATTGTAAGCCGACATTGTATTAGACGTGTGTGCGACTAACCGAGGAGATTACATGCCTTGTGCGGCTTATTACGTGACTGCCATTATCTTTGTCAACGGTGTATATATTAAAGTATTATTCGCCTATATAGAGACCTCATGAATATATAAACCGAGAAATAAAACTGAAAACCAGAACAAAAAGATCTTATAAAATTAATTACATATGTTCCGGAGGAAGCTAGGATGATGATGTACGTAGTACTATGCCGTTATAATTTTTAAAAGTCTATGGGACTCTCTCTCTCTGTGCTTAAATATGAAAAGCAAAACAACTAAATAACCTTTTCATCTCAAGTATCAAAGCCTTACATATTGGGTCCTCTTGCAATGAGAATGTCCCCATAAGGCTGTGTTTGCTCCACCTTTATCATTCCTCGAGTGGCTAGCACTGGAAATACATAACAACCATTTATACTCAGCTAAACCTTCAGTTATGCGTGCTATGGTTTTAAATTATGTAGATAGAAAGGAAGGTGTACCACAAGATTGGTAGAAGAGTTGAGCTGCAGCGTTTCTTTTCATTCCAATAGCAAGCTTGTTAAGAGATTCCACTTGAGGTGCTCCAGGTGTTTCAAAGTGCGTCTTGAGGTGACTGTTTGAATTTATACATCTCATCACCATTGTCAATGAATATATAGATTTTTCAAATAATAATGAATCTCTTACCTTTTGATGCTATCTGTTATCTTCTCGTCTGTGTTAGTGGTCACTGGCTTTTGAGTTTGTGTAGGTCCAGTCTCAACTAGTACTTCTGTCAGATTACATACAGAGAAGCCAATTCAAGATTTATGGTTTGATGTTTTTCCAAAGCTGTGCGATCAAGAGACAGTGGGGAAACGCTTTTTACCGTTATCAGCTGTGAAGCCCTTTTCAGGTATCATTGAAAACTCAAAGTCATAAGCACGGTGCTCCCACGTTCTGTCTTCCGCTACTGGTTCGAGTCCTCTTTTTGGTGAGGAATGTTGCCTTTTTCTGCTGAGCCTGCGACTGTTTCAGTAACCGGAAGAAGAATTAATTAGTGAATCCTCTTCCTATATTGCAAAACCTGTTTGTGGTTGCTACTGGATTTAGTATCAGAAAAAACATAGATGTTGTTCTTAACCTGTTAGAGTTGATCTCTACGTTAATGGAAGCTGCCCCTCGTGCGGATGGTGTGCTGCTAGGCATTGATCTCACGTCATCTCCTGGAGTTTCCAAGGAATACAAATAAATAACGTTACAGTACCAAGCTATTATCTGATGACTGAATATATGGGGGAAAAAAAAAGAGAAGCTTTTAACCAGAATAGAGTGGTGTAACGCTAATATCACCAGCCTGACGGTTAATATTTTCAGTGCTTGCTCGAGATCTATTAGCCATCAGGCCTTCGATTGAACCATCTTTCTCAGAAAGAGCGTTCCTAAGTCTTTCTGCGGGACTACCAAGATTTTGGAAGCTTGTCTCAGTTCCCTGATGCTGCATACATCGACACACAGTAAGACTACAGGATATGAAATTGTGCCTTTCTCTTAGTGTTACTAAACTTTTTCAGGAAATGTTATATGCTTTCACGCCTTACATGGTCTGTCTGATGGTTGTTTTGCATTCTCTCTTGGACAAACCCTGGAGATTGCTCCGCCGAGAGATCAGGACGTCCAGTTTCTGCATTGGCACTATCAAATGTCAGAATCATTTCAAGGAGAAAACAATAAAGCAACAATTATGAATAGAGAGAGACCAGATGTAGAGGTTTGAAGAGGCTGAGTGCATTTTGACCAAAGCTCCATGAGCTGAGGTGGGTAAGAGCCGTCCACATTCCCTTCAAAGAGTTGTGTAGGTGGCAGCTTCATACGTTTGGTAACCTCAATACTTGAGCTGGCGGGTCCTCGAGCCTACAAAATAAAATGTAGATTTTAGGCCAACCTGAGCATCAGTTATTAAAGTAAAGGCCAAGGCGTTCACTAGTTACCTTTCTCTTCTTTCCCCTTAGGAGGATGTTAGAAGTATCCTGGAGCCATGACTGGTATTGAGGACCAGCGATAATTGTCTGCTCATAATCCATGGCTGAAGCAGCTGTCCTTCTTACTCTTCTCTTTGTTGGCCGTGGTATATCTTGGTCCTACATGCAGAAGAAAATCCAATTCCATTTGTTTTCTCACGAGATGAAAGTTATCCTAGTGAGAGAAAATACCTCTCTGGCCGGTATGTTTTGTTCCCCCGTCTGCTCAGCAAATGCATCCCTGCCGTGCTCTTGTTGCTCCTGGAGCTGAGGGCTTGTGGGATTGCCTCCTGCGATGGCTACAGGTTAGTAAATTCGTTCTGTTCTGTTTAAGAAGCTAAGAGTTTTGTCAGGCTTCTACAGAAGTACATTCCCTGGTCAGATTCATGATTATTATACTAGAGGTTCGCTGAAGCCATTGTTATTGGATTCTAAACTAAGCACAATTTAGAAATAGAAAACATTTTCACCTTTGACTCAACTTCATAACCATTCAGAAACCAGATCTCACCATTCAAGAATTAAGGAGTGACATAACTAATTACCTTCAGGAAAATCATGATGGCGAGGTGGTGATGGGATCAGAGTTGGAGGTATTTGAGCGCCTTCACTTGGATTGAAGTTCAACTGAGTTTCATCATCTCCTTCGATGTCAAATCTGAGAGGCCATTAAAAAGCAAAAAAAAATGAAAACACAGAACAGAAATAAACAGATAATCACTAACTTTCTGCTGCAAGATGGATGAACGAAAATAGAGAAACAGTGGAACGCTACAAACGTCTTACTTCAACAGATTATGGATTGGCATAATATCTGTGAATCAAAGACCAAAGATAGACAGTAGGATTGAAAACTAACCTTTCAAAACGATCATAAGTCTCAGTGTTAGTCTGATATGAAGCATGATACTCAAAGAGTGTGATATTCTCGGCATCAGCTGAAAACGTTACAGAAATTGACAAACGCAATCACTTAATAAGTTTAAACACATGTCGTATATTCATAAAAGCTATGTCACAGGATACAAACCTTGATGGAAATGCTGTCCAAGATCTTCCTGCTCGGGGATATCGTTGACATTTGGTTCATCTAACCGCTGCAGAGAGATAAAGCCACACAATGAATTAGATAAACTGAAGATGCACATGAATATTCATTGGTTTACAAGAAGATGAACACTACGATCTATTGACACTATCAGTTACATTTTGTATGTGTCCTCTTCCACAATCCATAGGTTTGTATTCACGTTTCACAGAGAATTTCCATTGACGAATTCATAAGAGGTCTAGAATGAGGCAACTAAATAGACATGCATAAGTTTAGACCAAGTCCTCAGATGCACTTTATGCGCCAACTTATTTCCTCCGTATAATGTAAAATGAATAACGACCCAAAAAGAGAGTTCTTTTTATATTTTCTCAACATAACCTACGGTTTCTTCATAACTATAAGGGAGAATATATTGATGAAGATTGAGAGACGTAAAAGGAAAATAAACAGTCACAATCATCTAATTTAGGAGACAAAGGGAATGGGGGTTTAGTTACCATGGAGATATAAGACTGCTGAAAATCCATGAAATTGGGAAATTTGGGTAACTGACTACGAGTCTGTTCAAAATCCCCAAAATCAGCTTCGTTCTTCTCAGGCAAAGTAACAGCCTCTTTCCTGAAAACAATAACCCAATCATTTATAACGTTCTTTGTTTTTTTTCCTTCAGATTCCTTCAATGGCATAACGGCCTCAAAAGAACGAAGAAGAGAAATAAAAATACCTGGCGTGGGTTTTTCCTTTAGGTAGTAAAGTAGGATCCGGAACAGCTTTTGTGCGCCAAGTTCCATTAATTTCAACCTGAGAAGATAAAAACTCGTACGTGTGAGAGAACCCACAAACAAACAAACAAACCTTAAGTAAGGAAATAACAATTTTGACGGGAACAAAAAGTGTGATTACCAGAAGGCGAGTGACGTCATCTGAAAAATCAATGAAAAAAACCCAGAAAATATCAATACGAGAGGAGACACTGAGTACAAAACGAGAATATGATCGAATCCGAAAATTACCGAATAGGAGTTTTACTTTCCTCTCATAAACGATCACAACCCCACCTAACGAAACGAAGACACAAAGGCTCTGAGAATCATCAAACCCAGAATACGAAGAACAGAGAAAAATAAAGTCCGATGAGCTTAGATTGTTAATACCCATCAAAATCCCTGAAAGTCTGAGCGCCATTGGAACCGACGGGTTGAGAATCTCTTCGCTGTGAGCAAACAAAAATAACAAACAACAACCAAAAAGGAGGAAAATCAACGATCGTCTTCATGGATTAAACAGAAGAATAGACTTAGAGATCTTCGCTCACCAGATTTGTATGATGTCGAGCTTGTTCAGTTTCTTCCGATTGATCTTCGCGTGCAACGTGGCAGCCATCCTTGAAGATTAACAAACAAGGCAACACAAAAAAAAAACAGAGGTTAGAGATTACACTTTTTTTATTTCACTGATGAACAGAGAGATCAAACGATGGAATCCATAGCAGCGATTTAAGCATGAATAAACGCTTGATCGGGACGAAGAAGCTCCCATGGCGAATTTTTGAGAACACAAACAGAAAAAAAAAAAAAAAACGAGAAACGGTTTAACAGATAGAGCTTGTGACTCACCATATCTGACCTAACGGAGCTTTTCGAGCTAAAAGCTGATGAGAGTAAAACATCCTTCACCTCTACGAGAATCCTCAAACCCGGAAAGAGAGAGAGAATCGACTCGTCGCGACTATGGAGTCTGGAGAAATAAAAAAAGATGAATCTGCGTTTATAATGTGTAAAGCTGTGTGTGTGCGTGTTTATTTATGAAACCGCCATGAGAGAGTATAAGAAGAGAAAAGCAGCTTACAGTGATCGGGAGGGAGAGAGAGCACAGCTAACAATACACTACGGTGATGCAAGTATCACTAGTAACCCTCTAGTATTATGACACGTGCTATGATTATAAATAACCAGCACGTGACGTTAGAGTAAATGGAATTCGTTTAACCGTAGCTGGACCCCACACTGTCACTATCAAGCTCTGCAGCCTCAAGGCTCCCAACCTTTTCTTTACACTGCTTACTTTTTTTTTCGTGACGCGAAAACTACACGAAGTTGATTCTTGGAATAAGAAAACGGTCTGGTGTCGATTCAAGGCAATGCTACTGACCTCTTCTCTTTCCTTTTTCGCCGGAATGATTCCTCAAATCGGCTTTGATTTCTCTCCGGTCTCCGATCGCCGGAATGATTCATCCGCCATTCAATCGGAAACGCCATCGACGGACCTCCTTACACTCCTTCTTCCGACTATACATCGCCGCCGTGGTCTTGTGATGTGCTTGACCTAGGTTCCATCCTTAAATCGGCTTTTACTTCTCCCCGGTCACCGGCAAAACCCTAGGAGTACGAGAAACTCACGCGGCCCTTGCCTTCCCATCAGTATAAACCGTCGTGCTCTCATTTCCTCCTCCGAGATTCGTCGGGCAACACTATCTCCATACACTTCTTCTTCCGATTGTAAATCGCCGCCGTGGTCTTATGTTTGTGGCTGACCTAGGCGACGACGCCGCGAGCGGTGGCGATTTGTATTTCCCGCTTCAATTTCCCGATTTTGGATCGAAGAAACACAATAAGCCTAGAGCCCAGTATATAATGGGCCGGTGAATGCATTTTTTTTTTGGAAACCCGACTTTGTAAATTAAACTATTACCGTTGATTTTTTTTAGATCACATCTTGACCGTCATTTCTTAGGGCCTGACTGGTTACAACGCAGCGATTGCGGTTGCGATTGTGGACGTTTGTGGATACGAAAGATTGCGGTTTTAATCGTTAGTAAGAAATTTATACGATTGGTTCAACGGTTAAAAATTGGTCCATTTGCGGAATATTTATGACTTGTTTATCATCAAATACAACAGCGGTTAAGTAATAAATTAAAAATATTTATAATTTATATAATTATCAAAATATTAAAATCATATTTTGCATGATAAATAATATAAAATTTTTATTGAAAAAGACTGCACTATTAAATTTTTAAAATATTAAAGAAAATATTTTTTTGGAAATTTATAATATAAATATTTCAGTATTTCAATAATTTTAATTTAAAAATTTAATTGAATATTTTATTTTTATATTTATATAGTTTTTTGGAAAAAAAAAATTTATCTTCGTGCAATCGCCCGCAACGCAAACGCTAGCTGGAACCAGTTTTTTAATTTTAGAGATTCAGAGCGATTTGGAGTGGTTTATAGCGTTTTCTGTGATTGTTGAAAAATGCTAATAACCGCTACCAACCGCAAAAGCTGCATTTGCGGGTGATGGCGGGAGAACCAGGCCCCTAGTAGGAAAAAAGGAAAGTTTGTAATTAAATTACAACTGTTGATATTATTTAATCACATCCTGACCGTCAATCGCTTAGTAGGACAAAAGAAAGTTAAATAAATTAAGACCGTTGATATTATTCAGATCAAATCTTGGCCGTCAACACTTTGTAGGAAAAAAGGAAATTATCAACAAAAACAAGGAAACTCTGTAGAGTTCATCACGACCGTTAACATCCACCTGATGAATAAACAACTTGACCGTCAATTTTTTAGATTAAATCCCGACCGTTGAAATTTAGTGAAGTTTGAGGAAGAAAGGAGCATACAAGAGGAGTGGAGATCAAACGGGTCCTGGAGGTGGCTACAGACGCACATCACGATGATTACTTCTACTCTTTCAGGGTTAACAAATGATAAGGATATGTATCTGCTCACACCCTAAATGAAAGATATTCAATTAGAGAAGCTTGGGACACAAGTTAACGAAAAACAAGACTCAAGACTCTTGGATAGCAGGTAGCGGATAACAATGTCTTGGCCGGTGAAGCAAGCACAAGACAGAATCTCAGCTAAAATTCATCAGCTCCAGTAAGTTCTGCAAAATCATCTTCTTTGATTGAACCTTTCTTCAGTTTTTTAAGTAACCGATAATCTCTAGCCATCTCTTCTTCATCTTCCGCTGTTTGGATAGTTTTTCTCTGTCTCCCTGTCAACTTCCTTTTGTGAGAATCTCTGGTTGCAGAAGAAGCATTAACCGTCTTTTTCGAGTTTTTCTTGCCTCTCTCTCTTTTCTCTTGTTGCCGCTTCTCTTTCTTTGCTTGTAACTTTTGCTTTCTTTGTTTCTCCTGAGACTTGTCCCTGCATTTATCCAAAAACAATTCGGATCAACCACGCCTAAGGACTAAGGAGGGACAAAGATCAAAACCTAGTCGTTGTAAGTATAGAGAGATATGTAAAAGATCCTAATTGAGTTTTAGTTTTTTTTTGTATCACTATGAAGCTAATAGAAAGATGGAAACAGTGGACATGAGCATCAACAAAACCTACTTGAACTTTATGTCCTCGAAGTTTACGCCTTCAACGGGTGTAAACCCCTCACTGGAAAGTATGTGTTGTTTCACTTCAGATATTGATGGAACACGCAAGAGTCCATATCCCATGGCTAGCTTTCCGATTTCAAGGCTTCTCCATCTGTAAGTTATGAAAAAAAAACAGAGAAACCTTTTAGCTACAAAAATATTTGCAAAGACAAAAACAACTTTTAAGCAATACGGACCTAAAAATGTAAGAGCATCGGTGCTCCTTATAACCGCAGACAAAGGAAACAAATGCCCTTCTTCCCTTCTCATACACTGCTCGGTCCTTCAAGGCTAGTGAACGTATCTGAATACATTGTAGCAATTACTCAAACACTGTGACCAACCAGAGAGAGAGAGAGAGATGATGCATTAGGGTTTTCTTACAATAGGGATGACATCGGATGCTTCCTCAGAATATTTTTTCTCTTGACAAGAGACTCCTCTTATGCGCATAAACTCTACATAGTCTTCTTCCTACACACATATGCAATTAAACTTCTCAGCTTTTCTTGTTCTGTTATGTAACTACGGAGAACCTCAGGCAAAAGAGAACATAAAAGGTAAACCTCAGGCAGTAGAAAAACTATGCTCCTCCCTTCTTTTCCTAATCTTGCAGTCCTTCCAACTCTATGATTGAACAGTGTTGGGTCTTGTGGGGGATCATACTGCCTCAACATTACAAATACCAACCTGTGAACTCTATATTTTGGAATAAATATGGATAAATAATGGAAACAAGCATTATTCAATCTACCTGAACTACTAAATCAATGCCTGGAATATCAAGTCCACGTGCAGCGACATCAGTGCACAAAAGGACACCGCTTGATGCTTTAGTAAACGAAGCCAAAGCCTTGTCTCTTACATTCTAACGTGTAAAGTATATTCCATGAACGAAAAGTGCCAGAGAAATGATATGGAAAATCTACAATATAACAAGGAAGCTTACCTGTTTTTTATCCCCATGGATAGGAATTAAAGATATGGACTTCAGGGCAGGAATTTTTGAAAGTACGAGGAACCAGTAATCAACAGAAGCACAAGTCATGAAGTATCTGCAGAGATATTAATCCTAGCTATAAGGATGCTTTTTGTTATAAGTCTGTGTTGAAATGTTTTAAACTTACACTATAAGCTTTTTGTTTTTATTCTTGATGAGGAGATCCACTAGTTGTGATGATTTCTTATCTGCTTCGCATACCAAATACTGCAGAGACAATGGAGAAATAAGAAATGCATAAAGTAGTAACTGGCATGTAACTTGCGAGATATATTATATACCTCAAGGTGCAGACCAGAAGGTATTTTCAAGTTTGTCAATGCAGACTTTGACTCAGCTCGAACTTCAACTCTCACAGGGTTCCTAAGCCCAGCCTTGGCCAGCTCTTCAACGCCTTCTGTCTGTGTAGCTGAAAACAGACCAGTCCTACGTTGCTTTGGCAAGCGAGATATAATGCTGTTCACCTGCTTCTGGAACCCCATCTCCAAAAGCCTATCTGCCTCATCTAAGATAAGAATCTACATATGCAAAAAGATATTAATAGATACCTCTCAAGTTGCTTAGATAGCATCAGACTGAAGAGAACTACCTCAAGATTTCTGAAATCAAGAAAATCCATTCGTTCCATTATATCTGAAAGCCTTCCAGGCGTGCCAATCAAGACATTGCATCCTTCTTCTTCGATAGTATTCATGTCAGCTTTCACATCTCGGCCTCCAACGAGTAGAACAGACTTAACATTTGGCAAAGTCGAAACAAAGGGTTGTGCCACTTTATATATCTGCGTTGATAGCTCTCTTGTTGGCGATATAATCACTCCCATTACCTATAAAATGATTCAAAACCTAAAACCATAAACCAAACTCCACAAGCTCACAATCTATAAACCAAAGATTGAAACTTTAACATAAAAAGAAAAGACCCTTTATTTCAAAAGATTCAATAAAACTACAGAACCTTAAAATAGACATAAACTATGATCTAATTTCGATTGGTCGAAATGTTCTGCTAATTCTCCTAACTGGTGAGGTTTTGGAGGTCTTTTGATGATTTTTTAAATCTTTTTTGGCATCAATGACATTAATGATTAATCGCCTAAGCCTTATTGTACATATACAAACAAGTTTCATTTTTATGATAATTCAAAATACTTATAAAAAAAAAAACATTAACCCTAAAAACAGACATAAACTACTATTTACTGTAATAATCTAATTTCTAGATTGGTCGGAATGTTCCTGCTAATTCTCGTACCTGGTGAGGTTTTGGAGGGTAAGAAGTGGATCTACGGAGAATCTCTATAAGGGGAAGGACGAAAGCTAGGGTTTTTCCGGAACCGGTGGCAGCGTCAACGACAACATCCTTGTGGCTGCAGAGTAAAGGAATCGTCGCGACCTGAACCGGAGTGCAGAACTCGAAACCGGGGCCAAGCGTTTGGATGATATCTTCGGAGAGTGGAGGCTTGAGGTCGGAGAAACGAGTCTCCGTGAACGGTTTGTTAGTGTTCGGCGATGGATCCATGATACGGCCGCGGCGGATTCTCGTTGCTCTCGCTCCCGCTTTTAACCTTTGAAGTGACGTATTTATAAGCGAGGATTCATATTTTGATCGATTCGGTTTGGTTTGGTTTGGTTATTAGATTGAACCGACCCAAAACTAAATATTGAACCGGTTACAAGTTTGGTTGTTTTTCGGAAAGCCCGCTAATAAAAGAAATGTGTCTCAGCCCATTTATTTAATTCTGTCTTTCGTCCCGTTTTAAGGATGTATGTACGTACGTATGCATGTACATGTCTATATTTGTAGGAACATCAAACATACGTTGGATTATAAGAAAATGGACGATGTTTTTACAAATTAACATGTATATTCCGGACATATGCAAATAATTTTTAAGAAGAAGAGTAACCCATGGATAAATCATTTCTAAATGTTCAAACGAGGTTCAAACCATTATTGTCTCACATCTGCATAACTACGATGTGAAGTGTAGTAGGATGTCTTTAAATCCAAATTGCTTAACTCTCTAAAATTCGTCCACACCAACCTACCGTCGTATAATTAATAGTAACTAGATCATAACTCGTGGGTCTTTATTTTTCAAAAATTACAATCTAATATTTCCAATTTTACTAAGTAATAGTATACTGTTTAAACATTGTATTTCATCATTGATTATGTAACAAGGGCGTTGGTAAAATGTTGTGAGTCGCAAGTATTTTAGTAATAGTCTATAAAGTTTTTTTTTTGTTAAATTTGGTGCAAAGTTATATATACCAAACAATTTAATCAAATTTTTAAATTAGTTTTTTAATAAAAAACTGGAAGGCTGGTATATCACTGTTAAAAACTTATAAAAATAGTCAATATAATTTATATAAATAAAATATATATTATTTGATTTATTCTAAATACATTTAAAACACAAGTACATATATGTATAAATATTTTTCAGATATAAAGTAATATCAATGATAAAAAAACCCAAAAACAATAATAATGGTATTTTGGGCCGTAGTAATCTTTAGTCTAATAAATAAGTCATTAAGATTGTATGCTATCCATATTTCCAATCAAAACTTTAAAAAAAATTATTCATGTTTCCAAACACTTGTTTTTGTACTTCAGATAAATTGTTCCTTTACTTATTAATAAGTTTAGTTATTCTAATTTTACAACATTTGGTGATTTGTTTTCTATCCTTGTATACCTTTTTAAAAATAGGTAATAAATACAGTTCTTAATTAAGATAGCAATTGGTGATATTTCAATCAATATCTTATAATTAAACAAATAATATAACTCTCTAAAATCTGCACACTACTAAACTATTACTTTGAACCAAGCAATGTTAGTCTAGTGGTAATTTTGGAGATTCAGTGTACATTTACATTGGTCTTGAGTTCAATTTTTGTTGGAGATTAAATTATCATTGTTTAGCCGGTTTGAATTTGGGTATCGGTCCAAATGATTTACATGGTGGTCCATAATATACTATTGATCCATTTTTGGTATTAATCAGAAGATATTCAAATTTAGATCAGGTAATATGATAATCTGTCCATTTTATAGTACTAATTGTGTTCCTGAAACCGATCGGATAGATTTATAAAAAAACTACCATCTTGTAATTAATCGTCAATATTCCTTTACTTATTAGTATGTTTTAAAACAGTTACTCTAAGTTTACAGCATTTGATGATTTGTTTTTTACCCTTGAATACCTTCTTAAAAAGAAGTTGAATCAATACAATTCTTAGAGATTAAAATTGGTGATATTTCAATAAATATTTCCATCAATATCTTATAGTTAAGGAAATAAAATAATAAAAAGAAAAGGGAAGAAACTTGGCTGCATTTCTCAAATATTTTTGTTAAAGAATTCCCTAAAACGTTTTTATGGTATTTGTTTTCTTATAAGAGAATTTTATTTTATTTATAGCTTCAGATTTCTTAACATAACTAAATTCAGTTAAAAGTATTTATATTTAAATAAATGAGATATTAATCGAAGTGCTATTAAAGACCGCCATAAGGGGTTCGTTGTATCATTTCCCACTAGGAGCATAAAAACTAGCAAATTGCAACGCGTTTCCAGCTAGATTTGTATTGCATGTCCTTTTAGACTTTCTCACATAATAAAATTTTGAATCAAACGAATTAAAATAAACCCACAAACCAAAAAAATAGTAGACAATTTGAATAAAATAATATACCACTAGGTTAGTTGGTTTATAATTAACTAAGAAAACAAAGCCGAATAAAATAAGATAATCCCCCACTTGACCCAAACTAGTAGCCAATGGAACTCAAGTAGGCAATAGTTTAAGCACGTCGTCTGTTTTTCCTTTAGGTCTAATAAATTGTTTATTTATGTAACTGCACATGCTAATCAGGTCTAACTAATATTTCATGTTCTATATTCTCTTCGATATATACAATGGTTTTCTTCTTAAATACGGTTCAGCTTAACATACGGTACATTCATATACTTATGAGAATAATATTGATTCCTAGTTCAGATCATCAGCTTTAAATTACACAATTCTGTATCCGAAAAAAAAATGTGGACACAAGGACCAATGAGGGGAAAAATCTGTAATGTTTTTTATTGTGAAAAGTTACCTAGTTTATCGTTCTAAGATCATAATTAACTCGAAGATTTTAAAATGGAAGTTAAGAAACAGTTTTTTTAATTTTTAACTAAAAAAATTAAGGAACCAATTCTTAAGAACATCATTATCGCAGATCTTAAGACGAATTTCTTATAAAAATATAAAAAACTATCTCTTAACGTTTAACTGAAAATTAAAAAATTATTTCTTAAAATATTACTTTAAGAAATAGTTTCTTAACTTTTCAGTTAGAAGTTAATAAATAGGTTCTTATATTTTTCTAAGGAATTCGTTTTAAAATTCTTATTTAAAAATCGGTTCTTATTGATTTTAGTTAAAATTAAAAAATAGTTTCTTAATTTTCTTTAAAAAGACCATCTTAAAAACTCAGAATTAATCATGTTCTAACAATTTTTTTATGGCCAAATAGTGTTAACAATGTTTTGATGCGGTGAATTCAAATTCATTTACAAACAACACAAAACGGTGAATACATAAAATGAATAACAAACAACATGCCAGAAACTAAACACAACTCACAAAGTAACAGATTCAAAATGAAAATGTTATTATGTACCAAATCCTAAATCCATTTCTTTAATGAATCCATCCGACAATATTTCTTCCCAAACATAAATCTACCAAGTCCCAAACAAATTTTCTTTGATCCATAGAAACATCCAAAGCAAAATAGATACATAATCGCAATTAACATTAAAAAAAACTATAAAAAGACCATATTATCGCCGGCTCGTACAGCTTCTAGCCAAAGACTGAAGGTTACACCGGACGATAGTATCCACAAAGCTAACAGTCTCCTCCTCCGTATTCCCCGGTGGTACATCAACGATGTAAGACTCCACCACCACGGTTCCTTCGTCGTCCGACGCGTGTAGCGTCGTCACGGATCGGTAATTCTCTAGCCTGTGGTCCCCACCCACGACGCTAAAACTTATCACGTGACGCTCCTCGTCCAAGATCTCGAGCCTCTCGGTGCTCGACACCGCGGGGAGTCCGGATACAACCATGACTTCCCGGAGATCGCCGGCGTGGAGCCCGTCTCCTTGGACGATACGGCACTGCCTGATGAAGTTCTTGTAAACTTTTGGATTATCGAAACGACGCACGAGGGACCAGACAGACTCAACCGGCGCGTGTATCATCTGCACCACGGAGGAGGAGCACTGGTCTGGACCCACGTCGTGTGTGTGGTGCATCGCCACGTGTTCCGGCACGTGCATGCCGCGCGTGAGACATACTCTTTTGATTAGACCATCGGTTTGGTCGTGAGTTTGGAGTGTGTGGAAGCCGTTTGTGGCGTCTGAGCTGTGATGGAGCTGCACCGGTGATCTCATCTCTTTCTTTCTCTTCTTCTTGTTGTCTCTCTTTTTGTTGATTCTCTGAGTTCTTGTGAGAAGTTATGGAATCGTATATATTGGTTGATGAGAAAAGAAGAGAGTTTATTTTGATCTCTTGTTCGCTGTCGGTTGTCAAGTTGGTTTTGTTTGAGAAATTTTAAAGTGATGATCAACTTTTAAATAATAAGATATGAACATATTGAGTATTTTTTATATATATAATATATTTTGTAGAAAGATAGAGATAGCTGGGAATGTGAAGGATTTGTGTGTATATATAGACTCAATTGTGTGTGTATATGTGAGACCATAATGATACATTGTAACCATCATATCTCCCATGATTTTTTACCTTAAGACGCCTGATTCATTTCCTATAATATACCACGAATTTGATTATATTCCAAGAAATATTCTCCATTTCTATCATAGTAATAAATTTTATATTCTAGAATCTACAGTGTTGTTTCACAAAAAAAAAGGAATCTAGAGTGTTTAAAGATTCCATCAAAGAATTTACTTCTGTAAAAAGAAAGGTAATCCCAGATTTCATTTCTAAGTTCAAATCATTAGTTATAGTATAAGATTTTCTATTACTATTAAAATATATATACTACTTTACATGTTTTAATCTAATCTTACTAAAGTTAGCGGTGAGAAGAAACGTGTACAATATATCAGTCCAGAGAATGAATGATCAGGATAAAACCATGTTTCGTAATTTATACAATCATCTTAGTTTACATTTTAAGAAAAAAATCGTGACAATTCTATGTATACATTTATAAGATCCAGACCATATGGTAGCAACACATGTAAATCTCATTAACCGGTTGTGTAAATCACAATCCATGCATAATAATCCATGGGCATGGCTAAGTAGCCTAAAGCCACATACATGCATGAGCACACGTGCATGCACAGATGTTGATGGGTTTGGTGTCACATATGTGTGTAAAGAATGTTATATGTATATCTGGTATATATGCAAACATATATAAAAGTATAGATAGAGATAGAAATTGAGAGGAAACTAAGGAAGGTGAGACCTTATCAAAGAGCTTACGCCGGACTATGCAAGTGGATGTTGCAACTTGCAATCTTCTTTGGACTTAGTTTAGGTGGAAGATTATCCTTTCCCTTTACTTTTTTTTTGGGAAAATAGCATAAAAAACATTCAAAGTGACATTCACTAGCACTTTAAACCTTGAACTTATTTAACTAGCTTATTGAACATTCAACTTGACATTTGTATCACAAAAAACCTTCAACTTGGCTTACTTGTTCGTCAAGTCAAAATTGTGACTTGTTAACCTACAATAGTAGGTCACATATATATTTTTTATTTAATTAATAATTGCAATTAACAATAAAAACCTAAATAAAATTAGAAAATTACAGAAAAAATCTAAAATTGAATTTAATAAAAATCAAAAATATTTTCTTAAAACTTCAAAGTTTTTAAATTGAAAATTTTGCAAATTAAAAACTTTTAAAAAAATCATCTAAAAACTATTAAATTTTCTCACAAAAAAATAAATAATTTTAAACATTATCACCATTAACTTGAACACTCTTTGTCATATCATTATTAAGAATAACATATTTGGTTATATCACTAATGACAATAGTGTCAAAATCATTGTTATTTTTATATAAGAAATTATCATCGTTAAAGATATCAACAAAATTAAACATTTAAAACTTACAAAACACTATTATTAATTCTGATATGACGAAAAGTGCTCCTTTTACTAGTGGTATATCCACACTATTTATTTTTGAATATCATTTTAAAGAATATTCCTTATAAGCTTTTTAAATGTTTAGTTAATAATAATAATATACAAATAAATATGAGTTAGAGGTTATCTTTGATATTGAAAAATTTGTATTAAGAGTTAAAATGTTCATATCGAAATCATCATATAGTTATCGTTTTTTATTAACAAAATAAAAAAAAATCTATTAAGGTATTAAATTATTAGTAAGATACATTAATATAATTATGGGGATAATAAAATTGCTTTAGTTGCTATTAATATGACCATTAATAATAATGTCGTATGGTTAGAGAAAATAAAGGGGAAGACCAAAATATTTAAAAAAAGGTTTAAACAACTTTCATAGATAGATTTTTTAAGACTCATTCCCTTTTAATAGTATTGATATAGTTTATAAAAAAATATACACTCATATATCACAAAATTTCATTTAGAGTAAAAATAAAACACTTGTAAATTCTTAAGAATATATTTTGATTTTTTTTTAAATTAAGATTTTTGAATTTTTCTGTACTTTAAAACAAATATTTTTGAAAACTTACACGTTAAAAAAAACAAATTTAGAAGATATTTTGGTTTTTATTAAATTCAGTTTTAGATTTTTTTGTAATTTTCTAATTTTATTTAGTTTTTATTGTTAATTGTATTTATTAATTAAATAAAACAAAAAAAATAACATGTGACCTACTATTGTAGGTTAACAAGTCACAATTTAAACTTGACGAACAAGTAAGCCAAGTTGAAGGTTTTTTGTGATACAAATGTCAAGTTGAATGTTCAATATGCTAGTTAAATAAGTTCGAGGTTTAAAGTGTTAGTGAGTGCCACTTCGAAGGTTTTTTATGCTATTTTCCCCTTTTTTTTTTTATTTTCTCCATTTCTTTTATTCTTGTTGCCATTTGAATATAATATTGTCATATAGTACAAAGGTTGTTGCATCGCGACTTTGTATACAATATACATATATCTTTCTTTAAAAGATTTCAATCTTTTATTATAATGACGACATGGGCATGATACTTTACATCAAGTTTCATTATATAAATGTACATAGACATGCAGTTAGTGGCAAGCTAATTTATTTTCTATCTGTGTAGGAAAGCGTTTAGGTGTTTCATGATCGGAATCGAGCCTTGTAAATGGTATATTTTACTTAGGGTAATTACTAGAACTAAAGAAACTTGAGAGCTCTTTAATTGTTTAATGTTTTGTGTATTTAAAATATTATGGGAGTTTCAAATAGTTCGAATCTCTGTTTATCTTTTGAAATTTCCAAAAAGCCAAAAAGAAGAAGCTGTCCAAGACTTCTCTTGTAGATAATAACTACAACAAACTTCACTGACCAATTTGTCTGTATTCTTTACCTTTTGCTCTCTTTTTAAACGAGGCACGTTCTTTTTCTAATTATCATTTCAGAATATCGACAAGGCTTTTTTGTAATGCAACCATTTATCCATGTTACACAACCAACATATGAATATATCTTCGCCATGGCAAGACCTTAAAATAGAAGAATCTTATTTCAAATATTGACTTAGTCAAGTTCTAAGAAAATCAATTAATGCAAGTTCGATATATCTCAACGAATCATAAGACTATTCAACAACTGTGCTCAGTTTGTTTGCATAATAACTGCTGTTATAAGAAGTGGATTGACCCAGTTTATACTATACACAAAGAGGGTCTGTCAGTTCTTGAATTTGATCTAGCTTAGCATCACTAACTTTTGGGTCTAAATAGCTGATAAATCGCTTGACTTGATTGTTTTTTTGAGTTGAATGTTCATATAACAAAGACTTGAACAGAAGTTTGGCCACAACTTGAAATAGATTTCATAAACTATAAATCTCCTCGCAGACTGTATAGACTGTTGTATTCGGTTGACAGAGCTGAGAATATATCTTGCAGTCCTGCATGCTAATACCGTTTGCCGGTCCTGAACTAAGCATGTTGAAATATTCGCTTCAAACCCCCAAAATTTTGAAAAAATTTATATATATATAGGCTTTAAAAAAATTTGTTTAAATCCCAAAATCTCAGGGCTGACTCTAGTTATTGTGAATCGATAATTAGTTGCTTTTGGTTTTTGGCACGGCTTAAACTGACACTCGGGTTCGTTGCTCCGGTGAATCTTGACTATCCTATGTACAGTTGCGTATCTTATAGAAATTCGTCAAACATGTACCTAATATGATCGAGAAAATGATAAAACCAATTTTCATCACAACCCCACTGTCAGAACTCACAATTATAGATATAGGCCCTCACGGTCCTTTAGCAGACACATTTAGGCCCACTAAGTTCCGGACCTAAGGACAAATGCAATACCAACATCTCATCTTCTTTTTGTTGCATGACAATGAAGACTCTAAACAGAAATAAAGAGACGCAGTGTGTGACACTAATCTTTTCTCTGTTATTATACGAAACATTATCTCACAATATATACACTTTTCCTTTCTTAAAAGAGGATTTATCAGCGTGTTTTGAGGGTCTCTATATTACTAAAAACTTCAATAGAGTCTCAACAGTCATATGGGATAAAGGCAAAACAAAACGAATCCAACTGCACACCACTGTCTCAGTTCTTCGCATCCAAGAAACTCAGATCGAAGAACTCATTACCGTCTTGTGCCTCGTGCTGCGGCGGAGGCAATCCGCACTCTGAGCCAAAGCTTTCCAGCGGGGGTAATCCAACCTGTTGCTTCTCGGCTTCAGGTAAACCACCTCCGACATTGTCTCCCAGGCATTGGTTCTGGTTCGCGCCTGTAAAAATGTCGCCATTTAAGTCACCAAGAAGCTCAGAAACATCAAACATCTCCGAAGAATCCCACTGATTCTGATACAAGTCCGCAGGCCAACCGTAATCTGAAACAGAGAGTGCATCCGGCTGCTTCTGACAGGTTCCTGCAACCATCTCTTGCTCCTCCTTCTGTTTCTGCTTCTCCTCCTGTAGGCCTTCCCAATACTTCTGTTCGAACTCGCTTAACCAATCCTTAAGAGGGGACTTCATCTCCTCTGCACTCTCATGGACATCATTCTCCACACGATCCATGGGCTTAGCTTCAGCAAAGAAAGGTCTGGACTCACAATCCAAATCCTCTGTTTTCACATGAACATCTCCAGGAGTCTCAACCGTACAAACCTCAGACCGACTCGAACTACTCGCCACATCAGACACACAAGACTGAGGAAAATTAACACGAGCAAGCGGACCATACATAGCCTTAGCCGCCTCATCATAAGCACAAGCAGCTTCTTCAGCAGTAGGAAAAGTACCAAGCCAAAGTCTTTTCCCTCTATTAGGCTCTCTAATCTCAGCAACCCATTTACCCCAAGTCCTTTGCCTAACTCCCCTGAAACTACATTTACCATTCTCTGGTCCTCCTTTCCCTTTCATACACCCTTTCTTCGACCCTTTCGCAGGCACTTTCCTTTTCTTGCTTGGACTCTCCTCTACAGTGTCGTTATACTCTTTCCACATCTTAATCCTCTCAGCCACGGTAGTGCCATCACGCCTACTTCTTGATTTCCTTTTCTTAGATGTGTCGAGTTCTGTTTTATTGTTGTCTCCACTACGATCATAAACTGCCATCTTTGTCTCAAAAGCAACAAAACCTACAAAACAGAGAGTTTCATATCAGCACACAAGTCCAAGTATATAGCTTTCACTTCAACACAGAAAAGTAAGGAAATACAGGAAAAAAACACGATCCTGTTCTCTCAATACGATCTCATACCAATTCGATTCGAGCTCCCGACACTTAGTACTAGACAGTGAAAGAAAAAAAAACCTAATTAAGCTTCTAAGTCCCCATTTCTCCAATTTCAGAGCTAGACTTAAATATAAAGCTGAAGCTAAGGAAGGGGACACAGTACGAAGAAGCCTAGAATCACCACAAAACACGACCTTTCCGAGACTAGACTAGGGAAAGTAGTCAGAAATTAAACGTACCTATCGGAGCGAGTGCTGATCGATGATTAATACGCTGACGAATCGGTTCCTTTGTTCGTTTACCTTCTCGCTCAATGGACTCTTGCGTATACCTTTCTTTCTCTGAAGGATCCTTGTTTCGCGTCTTCACTAGTGAAATCTCTATATTGGTCAGAAAGCTTCTTTGATCAGAAATCAAAAATATTTTGTGGCCAGAAGGATCGAGGACTATTTATAGCCTTCTCTAGATATTTCTGATATTTTATTATATTTATCTGCTGAGTATTGGTGACGTGTATTTATTTGATTCGTCTGTCTTCTACGGTTGACGAGTGTCCCGAATCTTCGCGAACCACCCTAAACCCGGCTATGGAAAAGTAAAAAACAACAAGTTTTATTTTTAAAAAGTCTCTCTAGTAGATAAGATCATATGAACTGCACTATTTTAATACTTTAAAATACTTTGAAATTTTTAAATTGACATTTTTGTTGTAAAGGTTTTGATCTACGTAGAGTTTCTCAGGAAAACAGAAAAAAGGTTGTGATTTTGATTTAGAATTGCATTTTTTTTCTATCCAAAAAGTCACTTAACATTAAATACATTATTGACAAAATTTAAGATTATATTTTAGAAGAGACGTGTCAACTGGTGGAGCTATAACTTGGGTGGCTTAACTTCAACCAGAGCAAGAGAGTTGTCCATTATAATTTATGAATATTATGGTTTGCGATTGCGATGGAGTTGTAAAGGAGTAGCAGACAGCCATAGCCTTTGCATGTGCGTCGTGTGTCCTTCAGATACCACGGCCACTTCATTGACTACGTGTCTCTAAACGCATCTGATGATGTCCGTCTACGCAATTGCCTACGTACTTTAGGCCCATGGATATTAAGTTTAACAAGCCCATTACTATTGGCATCGTACTGTAGCGCTAATCGCAAACGAGAATTGACAAATACACCCTTACTTAAAACAATTACAAAAACATAAACACAAATCAACCCCTAACCGTCGAGATAGGGCCGCTTATCTCCGGCGTAGTCTTCGCCTTCTCCATCTCTTCACAGAGGTCCGATGAAAATCTGATATAGGGAGGCCTTGACGTGATTAACCAATATACGAGCAGCATATCTTAGATCGGAAGTGTTTGAATCACATCAGGGTATGCTACTGTGTCTTACTTGCAATCTTTTTCAGTTCATAGAGTAAAACAAATTGGTTTAAGCATTTGCCATTTGGTATGATCAGTTCTTATAGTTGAAAGAGCTGCAAGATGATCAACTCTTTGTGCCAAAACCGTCCCTCTTACTTCCACGACTATGAGAAGCTTATTAGGATCTCTGTAAGTTTTGTTTTTCCTTTCTCATTAATATGAATTGGCACATTGTAGAATGTAGTCTATGATTTTTGGCTTAGGATAGAGAGAGAAGAACTCATCCATACCAATCACAAAAACAATTGCTGCAAAATTTTGAGTGTTGACTTGGCTAAACCCAACGCACTTAAAAAATCTGATAAGAGAAACAAACCTCAACACGTTAATGGTCATTGACTGAACTTTACCATATTCGAATATCCGAAAGAGTCATTGACCTTATGATATAGAATTGTTCACTTGTTTGCATTTTTTTTTTAAACTAGCATAACCATAATGACCCAGTCTTAGATGCCTATATCGCCTTGGTTAGATAAACAAAAAAAAATACGGAAAGGAATTTGAATATAGCTGTGAGATTAAGCTCCCTTGTTTGTGTGAATCTAGGGAAGATGGGAGGCTGCGTCTCCATAGCAGTATCCTGTGACGAAGCTGTTAAAGGCCTTACAAGTTGCCTTAGCGGGGAAAAGAATCCCTTCCGCAACCTCGTTGACCATATAGCGACTCTAGAGGGAACTGTGAGACAGTTGGAGGCAAGAGGAGATGATTTGTTGAAAAGGATAAAAGTGGAAGAAGATAAAGGTCTAAGACGATTTTCTGAAGTCGAAGAATGGCTTTCGGAGGTCCGAATCACTGTACGTGAAGCCCATAATTTACTTTCGCAAAGGTATGATGAGAGGGATAAATTATGTTGTGGCAAGTATTGCTCTAAGAGATGCATTTCGAGCTATAACTATAGTAATAAGATAGCTAAGAAGGTAATACAGGTTGAGAAGCTCATATCTAGAGGAGTTTTCGATGAAGTTGCTCAAAGAGGTAGTATACCAAAGGTGGAGGAGAGGATCTTCCACCAGAAGATAGTTGGTCAAGAGGCAATTGTTGAATCAACATGGAAAATTTTAGAGGAGGGGGGAGTTGGACTTTTGGGCGTATATGGTATGGGGGGCGTAGGGAAGACCACCTTCCTCTCTCAAATCAACAACAAATTCCTCACAGAAAACAATGACTTCGACGTTGTTATATGGGTTGTAGTGTCTAGAAACCCAACTGTTAAGAGGATCCAAGAAGACATTGGGAAAAGACTAGAGCTCTACGAAGAATGCTGGGAGAAGAAAACAGAGAATGAGATAGCATCTGTCATTAAAAGGTCTCTAGAGAACAAGAAATATGTGCTACTGTTGGATGATATGTGGGCGAAGGTGGATTTAGCAAGCATTGGAATACCTGATCCGAAAAGAAATGGAAGTAAAATTGCATTCACCACCCGTTCTAATGAAGTTTGTGGGAGCATGGGGGTAGATGAGGAAATAGAAGTAAAATTTTTGATGTGGGATGATGCATGGGACTTGTTCACTAGGAATATGAAAGAAACGTTAGAAAGCCATGTAGATATTCCCGTAATTGCACAGTTGATTGCAAGAAAGTGCCACGGCTTGCCACTTGCCCTCAGTGTCATTGGCGAGACCATGGCTCGCAAGAATTCGATCGAAGAGTGGCATGCTGCACTTGGTGTTTTGTCTTCCTCTGCTGCTAAGTTCTCACGTATAGAAGATGAAATTCTTTCCTTACTGAAGTTTAGCTACGATGACTTGAAGTGCGAGAAGACCAAGTCGTGCTTCTTATTTTGCGCCTTGTTTCCTGAAGATTATGAAATAGGAAAAGATGACTTAATAGAGCATTGGGTAAGTCAGGGGTTTATACTTGGTTGTAAAGGTATAAACTATCCGGGTTATGCAATTTTGGGCACTCTCAGTCGTGCATATTTACTCAAGGAGAGTGAATCCAATGAACACGTGCAGATGCATGATGTGGTTCGCGACATGGCTTTGTGGATATCATCAGGATGTGGTGAACAGAAACAAGAAAATGGTGTTTTTGTGAATGCCAAAGCTCATCTAAGAGAGATTCCAAAGATTGAGAACCGGGAAGCTGTGAGGAGGATGTCCTTGATTTACAATCAGATTGAGGAGGCATGCGAGAGTCTCAATTGTCCCGAACTCGAAACCTTACTCCTTCGAGATAACAGATTGAAAAATATCTCAAGTGATTTTTTCTCTCATGTCCCTGTCCTCGCGATTTTAGATCTTTCTTTGAATCCAAACCTTATAGAGTTGCCTAACCTTTCAAACCTGGTCCATTTACGGCATCTAAATCTGTCGTGCACAGGGATAACGATTCTTCCAGATGGTTTACGTGCAATGAGAGAGCTGTTATACTTGAACTTGGAGCATACTTACATGCTGAACGATATCTCTGAAATAATTTATTGTCTGAATTTGCAAGTTCTGAGATTGTATGCTTCTGGTGTAAATATAAGTGAGGACATAGTGGGGCTGATACGATGCATGAAGAACTTATATCTGTTAACTATAACCTTGAGAAATTCCTCTGCTTTGCAAAGTTTTCTTCAAGATACTGAGACCATCTTCTACAACCAAGTTTTAAGATTCCAAATTCAGGCAACTCGTAACCCATTCAGAGTACCTTTTGCCACAATTTCGAGTAGTCGCTTCATCGAGATTCAAGACTCAGATATACAGAAGATTGAGATAGAAGGGGTAATCAGCAATGAGTCTGAGATAGTTGGGCCGAGGGTTAAGAGTAACGTATGCTTTATTAACCTCCGCAAAGTGAGGTTAGATAACTGTATTGGTCTGAAGGACTTGACATGGCTGGTTTTTGCTCCACATGTAGCTACTCTATATGTGGTATGGTTACCTGATATTAAACACATAATAAACAAAGCCGAGTATGCAGTGCTGCGCCGTACTTGTGACTTAGAAGGTGTCATTCCTTTTCGAGAACTGGAGTTTCTTACTCTCAAGAATTTGGGTAACCTGAAGAGCATATATTGGGATCCTTTAGTGTTTGGGAAGCTGAAAGAAATTGACGTTAAAGGCTGTCCAAAGCTAACAAGGCTTCCACTTGATTCTAGGAGCGCCTTGAACAAAAATGTCGTTATAAAAGGAGAAGAAGAATGGCTGAAAAAGCTTCGATGGGAGGATAGAGCGACTAAGGAGCGGTTTCTCCCAAACTAAGAAAAGGTTTGGGTTTAGTTTTTTTCATACGCTTTTTTTTTATATAGATCATGGATACTATGTTGATTTTCTTTGTTACATATCTCTCATGCGCTTTTCAATTGTTTGTAGGCTTTAAAGAAGGAAACCTTCATCCTCCAAGGCTTGCGTACGTGTGACAGATTTCCCTCTGGATTTTATTTGCTTTGTATGTGTTTGAATTGTCTTTGAAACTTCCATTGTTCTATATGTATTTCAATCATGTTTGTTTGCTATATATTGTGCTTGATTCCTTGGAACCTGATTACTTGATAGCCAAATGCTTTGCCTCTTTTTTTCTACTCTCTTTAATGTGATTGAGAACTATGCATAAAACCAAATCTTTTGCTTGTATCAAGAAATAAGTTAAGAGATATGAGTATATGACTAGAGATGCAAGTAGCTGAGAGTCTTAACTTAGACGAGTACTATGATGAATTCGACAATTCTGGACTTGGTAATATGAAGTTATATCTCTCTGTTGGTGTCAACTATAACATTGTGCTCAAAAATCAATTTTCGTTTCCTTGAAACAACAGCAATTGAGCAGAGAGAACACTTACATATGGACTATGTAGACACTGAAAACTTACATTATCTACGCAAACGAAAGCAGGTTTATTTCCCACGAATAGATTTAATCCAAAGCAATACCAAAATCTGCATATTCTTCTAGAAGTGGCAAGTCACTTTCTCTCTGATAATGACGACGATGATACTAGCAAACAGGTAGATCATGAGGAGCAGCTTCAAGAGTCTCCAATTCTCCAACACCGTTCTCGACCAAAAACGCCATACCAAGACCCCATTTGATATGAACATCTAAGTGACAATGCATCAACCAAACCCCTGTTTCATTCACCCCAACCAAAAAAAAAACATCACTCTCTCTAGATTATTTTGTAACAATTATTACTACAAATGTTCAATGATAATTAGCTTTTGTAACATACCTGGATTATCAGCAACGAATCTTATAACAGCCCATCCATTAACAGGAACAGCAACAGTGTTTCTAAGCGGAGGATCAACAAGGTTAAACTTAGAAGTATCTTTCTTGGGATTGAAGTTACCAAACCCTTCAGCAACAATGTAGAAATCGTAACCATGAAGATGAATGGGATGATCCTCCGACGTAACTATGTTCGTGTCCTGTAACACAATCTGAACTCTAGTTCCATACTTGAGTTTATACAGTTTAGTACCCTTAACCGGCTGAAACAGACCCCGGCTTATGTTATTTCCGGTATAATCGAATTTAACCGGCGGATTAGCTGGAAAATCCGTCGTGAAAACACCAGGAATACCGTTGGAATGAGCTTGCAGTAGCGAGAAATTCGACGGTAAAACAAACGAGACGTTGTTCATCGAGGCAGTAAACCGGGTTCCGTTTAACCCTTGGCACCGGTTTTTGGGAAAGTTCTTGGGACAGTTATCAAGACCTAAACCGATGGTGAAGAACAAGTTCTCGTCAATTGTTTTCGGTACGACGACGTTACGTAGAGATTTGAATTTTCTTGAGAATGACGTCACGGTGTTCGTGTCGTTGAAGGCAGGCAAAGACGGTTTGATTGGTGGAAAAGTTTTTGTCGTGTTTCTGTAATGGAGAATGGCTGTTGTTGTAGTGTTGTCAAACGGTGCGTTTTGAGCGCTTTGGTATGCTCTGGCTGCTATGTAATAGCGCTTGGGAGGTTGGTCTGCGGTTAGAAGTACGTCGGTGGTTTGACCTGGACCTAACATGAGGACATTTGTGGTGAATGGTTTGAGGTATGATGCGTCGGCTCCGACCACTGTGAGTTTGTGGTTAGCCACAGTGAAAAATAGCGGTTGGTTTAAAGCTGCGTTGATCACTCTTACAAGACTTGTTTCACCTGGTTTAACCGGTACTACAACAGTCTCTGCATTTTGACAAGTGTAATGTATTAATAACATTTTCAATACTTAACTAAGATATCATATACTATATAGTTTTTATTCTTTACCTTTGTTTGAGCAATTATAGAGATCACCGGGTTGGCCATTGATGGTATAAGCATCAGATATATTCGGAGCAGCTCCGGTTCGAGTCGCTTGGTTAATTACATCAATGGGATTTGCATTCCACCATTCCCCTGATACCAAGAAAATTGCCATTTTTTATTTAGCATATTCGAAAATTTTGACAAAATATGTTTAGCTTATGGTGTGGAAAGGAAAATTTTGGTTTGGTTTGGTATGGTATGGTATATACCGAGCACGAGGGAGGTTTGACGGTCCGGTTTAGGAAAAGGAAAAGAGGAACCAAGAGCTGGGTGGATGATGAGTGCACCGTAGACAGTGGCTCGGAGCCAGGAGCTATGTGCGTGCCACCACAATGTTCCTTCTTGGCCTTGGATAGTGAAGCGATATGTGTAACTATTTCCGGGTCGGATTGGGCATTGGGTCACGAATTCAGGCCCATCAGCCCATCCAGTTCTCATCTGCCTCACACCATGCCTGATTCAGTTTCAGTACATATAAAAATACAAACTTAGTTTTTAATACAGCTAATTTTTTTTTTCAACTTTCATATATAAAAATTACATAAAAAGTATAAACAAGAAATATTTAGTTAGTTTTATTTATTTATTTATTTAAACTTTGTACTATACCAGTGGATGGTGATATTGTAACGGGCACGGTTAAGAACTTTGACTTCAAGAGTGTCACCGTCGTTGACTTCGAGTGTAGGTCCCGGAAACATTCCGTTAACGGTGATAGCATTACGGGTCTTGCACAGCCTCTTCACTGGTGTCTCTTGTATCTTCACACACACGCAACACAAATTAATGACAATTGGTTACTAACGTAAACAATAACTTAATCAATATGGACATGAAATATTATTTTTATTGTAATGACTAATGAGAACGTACGACGAAGTTATGGTGTTGAACTTTAGCTATAATCGATGAAGTGGAGAGAAGGGAACAAAAGACGAACAAGCAAGAGAATGTGTGTAGGGTCGTCATGGTGTGCGCTTAAAACTTTAAGCTTCAATATTGTTTTTTTAGGTTAAGGTAAATGAGGTGACTAAGAGAAAGATGAGAGGAGGGTTTGAGGGATTTGGGAAGAGGGAACGATGCTATTTATAATGGGGAAATTACATGGGAGTTATTAACTAATTTTATGAGTTTGAAAGAATTAGGTTCTAATTATTCAAAAGAAAATTAAATTTACCGGTCACCAACATATTAGAGTGTCTTTATCAGTTTGTTGCCTTTTTTTTTTTTTTTCCTTTTCACATTTTTCATTGAAAAAACTGGTTTTATTTTTTTTAATCAACATTAAAGGTGGATTTAGATAAAACATGTTGGTTGACATATGATTAGATTAAACACCTAACATAAAGATGATTCCAGTACGAAATAAATCTCTGGATGTTAGACAAAAGAAAATGATAACAGCTAGTTTCCCTGAAGTTTATTTTAGCTAATAAAATAGTTGATATTTAAATTAAAGACATTAAATCATGGCAACATACTTAATTTTATGAATATGATTATATATTGCATTTAATCATATGCTTTGCAAACTTGTTCGACGCCATAGGTTTCAAGACTTGAAAAACTGTTTGAACTTATTTTATGTCGCTCCCATTGAAAATGAGAAGAGAAATTGAGACATTGAAAGGGAGCAGACTTAGGTGAGGGGGAGTAGTTGCACCCAACACTGAGCATATTCAACAAAGTTTAGTTGAATTGAACTCGAGTCATTTCATCTCACATCTACTGTGCTTGCGTCTCAAGCTTTCTTCCTTAATTTCCATGCTTCTTTGTCTTTGCGGATAAAACGATCATTAGTCATCATGAGTTACTTCACCTGAAAAAAGTTTTGAAAATTTAATACCAAGTCGACATAAATAAGATTTTTTATTTATACAATTGTCTAATTATTAATTATCTTTTGTCTAGAAAAATGTGTCAATTTTTATAAGTAAGATTATTATTGCTTAACAACATAAAGTAATCCATCTTCTCTCCATATATAAACCATCTTGATACAAATGTAAGTTCATAATTTGAAAGTTCATATTCTTGATAGAGAAAATTAAAACAAACCTCGTACCAACAGGTAGGTCGAAGAAAATAAAAATTCGACATGAAAATGCATAATCAAACATTAAACTCCATATTCAGATGTTCACATATGTAGAGGTCATATTAGTCTAACTATCCTCATGATTTCTTTGGTTGTAGTGGTCTAACTATCTCATGATTTCTTTTGGTTGTATATTAACAACTTACATTGGAATAGCATATGCATTGTAGTAGAGTATAACATTCAATAACTGCCAATAATAAAGTCACTTTTTCTCTAGGAGTAATTCAAATAATTCATTATGCATTTTAACAAACATTCACGATAATCTTGAAGCCTACGCTACTCTTTTGTCTCGTCATTTCCTCAGTTGTGTCGTTATTTTCCCTCTTTTTCGTCCAACAGAGACTTTACCTGAGATTTGTGAAAATAGCTGGGGTGACACTGACACTTTTGGTCGGCCCTTAGAGCATATTTATTATAGGTTTTTTAAATTGGATCTTTTAATTTAATATAAGATACGGTTTCTTAGTTTTTAACTGAAAAATTTAAAAGACGTCTCTTAACATTTCAGTTAAAAGCTAATAAACCGTATCTTATATTATACGAAAAGATCCAACGTAAGAGATATGCAATAAACATGTTCTTAGAATCAAATCTAAGGAAATAACATTCTTATTTTTTTGTACGACAAGGAAATAACATTCTTTTTTCTTAACACAAGGAAATAACACTCTGACAGAGCACAGAGCATGTATAGTAATAATTGGTAACATTGTAACAACACTCCCGGATGAAAAAAATACACCACAGTGCATGTATAATATCCTGACGTATACTTCCGAACCAACTTATCAACATTTCAACACGATATAATGATCGGATCACGGGATATCCCACAGGGCACAGTGCATGTATAGTAATAAGAGTTAATTTGCGAAAGTACCCTAGTTCTCACCTTCAATTAGTGAACTAACCCTGATATGACAGTTTTCTTTACTCGGACCATTTTACCCTTCCGTGTTTCGATATACTACTCTCTTAGGCTCACGCGCCTACGGGTAGCTGTGTCAGAGCGCCTCCCACGCTTGGTTTATTTCCCGTCAACCTTTTTGTTTTCCAGTAAAATCTTTTGCATGCTTTATATTTTGAAATTTGAAATTATTCATTAATTACGGTAACTGTAAAAATTTATCCCACCACTCTGAATAGTAACCTCCCTCTGCAATTC